AACACAGAACACTGGTTATTTGTGTTCGCCAATCATTAAAAACATAAAACTGGTCAACTCCATCTTCCTCATGTAGTCGTAGGGAAAGGATGGCTGCAGGAGTGACAGTCATACGCTTTTTGCATTTACTTCCTGTAAATACTTCAGTGCACAAATTTACTACCAGAGATATTTGGCAAAACAATGAATATGGACAAAAAGCTAATATTTAGCTTATAAATTGGAGTCTGTATTGAAAACCCAATTCTAGGAGTTATACTCATCCAACCGGGGAGCAGAAACAGTATCGTGTGACTTGCATCCAATCAAAAACTAACCAATGCAGCTCAAACGTCAAATTATTGGACAGTCCTAGTGAACAGCTAATGCCAAATCCAAAATTTATTTATATAATTATTTGGTGAATAATTTTAAATGAATAGACCCAAGAAAGTCAGGAAAAACAGCAAAGGGGAAAGAGGCTAAATCCATTAAATAAAAAAAAAAAAAAGGACATTCACTAGAACTTCTTTTTTGCTGAGCTCCAACAATGAGCATGCTCACCTAGGCATTGCTTGGATTATTTCTTTGACTGTCTGATTAAACTCAAACCCTTTTTGGCCAACAGCTGCTGAGACATAGAAGGAAAAAAAATAATTAACAAGGCTTGCTCTCCATCTGACATTCGATAGCTGGTTTTTGTCTTCAGGCCCACGCCTGCAAATAAAAGACAACCCTTCTTGATAAAATGAAATCCACAAGAACGAGACTCACTCTTTCCATCTCCCCAGTATCCATTGAACCACCTGAATAAGTAAGCCTCTCTGAACATTCAGTCCCCACAGCCGCGGGAAATTGAACACCTCACTCACCATGACACTAGCAGGAAATCAACACCCACCAAGTATGGAGTTATAATTAAAAAAAGAACAATAAGACAGCTGCTTTCAGCAGTGTTTTTAATCATGGATCTAGCACCCTAGGAGATTATTGGACTACAAGAGATTTAGGAAAGATTAGTCTTTTCATTACCATTGGGGGAAGGGGGTGGGGGACGGAGGGGTTAGTTCCTATGCAATGCCAAACAGACATGTTTCTAGTATATATGTAGACAACTTGTGCTGTTGGTACCTGATTGTCTGGAATTTCAGTGGAGATCATAGGCAACAGGAACTACTTATTTCTATTTTGGGAGGGAAAAAGTTAATTGAAAACAGATCTGATCTGACTAGACTGATTAAAAATATTTTGTAAGGTAATTATTGTACTTTCCCCCCCTTCTTTAGCTTCTTCGGGGATCTCCAAGCTCTAAAACAATCATGAATTTGTCTCCACAACCTTGCTTGGGTGGTGGATTGATATTATTGCCCCACTGTTACAATGGGGAAGCTGAGGAACAGAGATTAAAAATTACTTTGGACTCTTTTTTTTAACCCTTACATTTCAGAGCCTTCTGAGAAGTGGAAGTAGGTGGGATCTTTTACACTGGGAAAGAAGAGTTGGGATTTTGGATACAGTTAAGGCACTAAATCCATATGTGGGGCACCTAAATTGAAGTGGCCTGATTTTGCAGAAGGACTGAGTCCCCCAAATCCTATTCAAAGCAAATAGGAGCTGCAGGAGAGCATCATCTTTGAAAAATAATCATTTTTACCTCTTGCCCCCTATCCCATAGATGGCAGACCCAGAAGCTTTGGAAAATGCCCTCCTCATAAGAGTCAGATCCTGTTCAGGCAGGAAGTGGAGAATTAACAGGTGCTGAGGGTGGTTTAGCAGCAGTGGAAGAGAATCCACCTCATGATGCCTCCTATAGGCGAGGGATCCACATCCTGGATGGACAATATTGTATTAGATGCAGTCTGGGAAGATAGGGGGATGCATGTAGGAGCTCTTGTACATTTAAACCCAAATGCAATCACAGGTGCACTTCCTGCACCTTTGTTTTACCCTGCACCAAAGACTAAGCCAGAGATGACCATGCAAAATAGGCCCAGCAGCATCCATCATCTAGGTGTCAACTTGCAAAGTTGAGGGCATCAGTTTTCAATAAATTGTGTATAGTAGGTACCTTAACCTCCAACCTTGCACTAAAAAGGATGAAAGAAAACCAGGGCTTTTGTCCCCCTACAATCCTGTCACCCGGAGAGATAGCTAAGACAAAGTCACTGGGACAGCCTTGAAACATCTGCTCCAGCCTACAACTCCTATGCACTTTATTTCTGCCATGTAATCATTGTTCCATGCTTGCTACCACAAAAATCAAAAGCCCAAGCCCTCAAAGCTACCCCTTCATCCAGCTGCCTGAGAGAGCACCTCCAGCAGGCTGCCAAAAGGACAACTAAAATATCCCCATTCCAAATCTTCCCCTCAATCACACCTACAGCAAGTGCTCCAGCTCTCAGTGTATTCACTCACTCTCTCACATGATAAGGTCTCCCGGGAGTAGAAAGAAAAAAGGAACAGAAACCTATTTCTTAAGCTTCTCCTGTTCTTGTTGGATGGGCAATCATCATACACTAAACCTCGGGCTGCTGCTACACAGACTGGAACAATGAGGGGGGTGCACACAGAAATTAAACCCTCTCAGATCCTAACCTCTCCCTGACACTGAATTTCTCACACGGCAGGGAACTCCCCCCAAGCAAATCAAAATCTTAACAACAGAAAAAGGGGGGGGGAGACAGAGGGAGTTGGGGAAAGAGGCAAATCACTCTTCTGAGTCTCTCATCCCCAACGGGAAATATGCTACCAGCCCACCACCTATAAAAAGGGGACACAGTCTCTGCCCCAGAACTTAAGAAAGGCATAAAAAAGATCTGACTGGAAGCTGAAGCTAGATAAATTGAAAGCTAGACATGAGCAAATTAACAGTGAGAGTAATTAACCATTGAAACAAACTTACCTAGGGATGTGTTTGATTCTCCATTGCTCAAAGTCTTGACATCAAGACTAGATACATTTCCAAAAGTCATGCTCTTGCTCAACCAGACATCATAGGCTTGATGCAGGAATCGCTTGGTGACGTTCTCTGGACTGTGTTATGTAGGAAATCAGACTAGATGATCCTATTGGACCCTTCTATACTTAATCTAGGAACTTGATAGACAGTAAAGTCTTTAGGCCTGGGTCTTCATGTGTATTGAGATAACACTTGAAGACAGAGTTGTTTGGGCCCTTGCTGTCTGATTCTCCAACAAGAAAAATTCACTTTCTGGACAAATCAACATTTTCTGCAGAAAAATGTCAATGCTGTTGGAAATCTCTGATTTTCCATTGGAAAAATTGTTCTCAGCTCTCCAGCTCCCCTGCTCCTTGGCAGCCTGCCTAGAGGGATGCTGGGGAGCTCAGGTTTGCAGGCTCCTTGGCTCCAGGGCAGTCTTCCAGGCTGATTGTCCCAGAGTGGGGACTGCCAGAGCTTCCAGCTCCTCAACCCAGCTCCCAGAGCTCCTGGCAGTGCAGGGACCCTCAAACATTTTGAAAATGTTGAAACCAAATAAGAGTTCGTGTACTGCAGGAAATTTCCATTTTTTGTTCATTTTGAAAAAGAAATTTTTTTTTTTTGAAATTTCAGAATTTCCCACAGCACGTGAATTCCAGTTACCAACGTTCAAGGGCTGGCCAAAGACCGTGGAATGAATTCCTCCAGGAACTAAGGACCATCACAAACCTCACCACCTTCTGCTGTAAGTGCAAGGCGTATTTCTTTGACATTGCCTTCTCTAACATAGCCACATGTGTATATATTAAAAATCCTAAATGTGGATCAATTGTATAGTCACTTGCTTGAGCACACGGTGGTTTGTTGTGAAATATACTCAAGAGACCCAATAATCAATGTCAATCAGGTTTATTAAAACGGTACAGGAAAAAGGTTCTATATACCAGTCTCCGAACAGCAGTCCCATGCAATGATATTACATTCACCTTACACAGGTGTGCTCCAAGAAGTTACATCCCTAAAGCCATCTTTTTATACACTACTTGTTTACCAGTAAAAAAGGTACTACATTTGTCACCTGAAACTGAATTTAATCAATCACTGTTTACCTTGTTTGTTTCTGGCACCAAGGTGTACCAGTTTATCTTTTGTTCTGAACCCACGCATTCCAGATCATTATGCACCCGTATCTTTCTTCTGAGCACATGCATTCCAGGTACTAAGAGGCATGAAGACACCTTCTAGGTTTCTGTGGGTAATGTCTTTCCTGTTGCCATGAGGAAATAATCGTATGTACTGATACTGACAGTTTTCTTATCTACTCAAGCCCAAGCTCACTTCAAGGTGTTATGGGATACTTAGCATGTGTGTACAGGACTATAACAAAAGGTACAGGCCAATTTGGCCTCTATAACTTTTATACTGATGCTTAATAATATATATACTTAAATGCTTGGAATATATATTGCAGATAGTATTATCAGAATAATAAACTGGTATGCTAACCAGGATATATTAGTCAACATAAACAAAACACTTTACTGCACACAATTCTCCCCCTGGGGAGAGATGAGAGAACACACACGACATATTAGCCATCTCGCTTAATGCACTACTGAAATGCACTCATATTACAGTATGCAGTATAAGAACCTATATAGAATAGAGCCTAGCACATTGTGGGTGCGACCAGACATGTAACTGTTCCTTTTATTCTAAAGAATTGTATACAATTCTTTAGGAGCCTGAGTAACTATAAGCAGCACAAAAAATGAGGGCATATCAACATTTTCAAAAACTCTCCTTTTTGATCAAGGGACTTGACCAAGAACAGAGAAAGACAGTGTCAGAGACAGGATTAGACCAAGTGTTCCTGGCTCCCAGGTCTATATTCACTCTATAGCTCCTCACCTGATCTTCCCCTTTTCCACGCCAAGAGAAAAAAACAGCTGAATTTAATATAAAAGAAGCCCTTTTGTACTATTCTATTTTCTATGGACTACTTAACTTCACTTGCGGTTTCACCTGAAAACTCTACATCATTTACATTAAAAATTAAAAGCAATTGAGAAGCAACAGATCATTTACTGCAGTGTCAACTTTATTGAAAAACAATGATGTTCACATGTCTTAGGATCTAGCTTCATTACAGAATTTTTTTTGCAATAAGTTAAAAAACGTTTACTGAACAATTACGAAGTCAGACAAAGCAACCAGGATATATATAAAAGGTCCAAAAGCAGCTTATAATACAAAACAGTTATTGTAGTGGAGAATTTCACAAAATGTTTGTTTGTTTTACAAAACTCCCTCAGTTGATAAAGCTATTTTTAAAAAAATCACATTACATTTCAAAGCTCGGCACGAGATTTTAAAAATGGAATAGCCCCATATTTAGCGGCTGTGCTTCCCTTCACAATCTGGTTAAGATTTACTATGGTCTTAACATGTATGCATTTGCATTTAGGACAAAAACATGGTTTTTTTTACTGAATAGTTTTTAGAACCTATAACAAGAATATTACAGATACCAATGGTGTTGATCTTGAAAAGGAGGCATTAACACGATGAAAATAAGGCAACTGAACTGATTGCAAACTATTTTTAGAAATTAAACTGGTTAAAATGACAGATTGCAATCACATACAAGAAAGTGTCATCTCTTGGTAAACGAAGGCTGGCCAAATGAGTTTCCCCCCAGCGTTCTACAATGCAGTTTGTGGCCACCATTTTTAATAGAAAAATGTGGACCATAGTAAACTGCATGCTGGGAACAGCAGGTCACACATCTGCATTAAAGATAAAATAGACGCAATCTGCTCCCAATTTACACAAATTTGGCACAGAGCTTCAATTCCCTGAATGAAACCTGCCCCAAGATGCAGCACAGAATTCTGGCAGCTTTGCTGTATTCTCCAGGAATATCCATACCAACATCATGTGAAATTTGAAAAGTAATTTTCACAAGATGTTTTCTGTATCTAAGACCTGGTGCAGAGTACAAAACACACTTCCTTGGGTTTCAAGATTGCCCATCCAACTTGTCTTTAATATTCAATAGTAATAAAATTATTAACAAGATTGGATATTTTGTTTCTTTTTCTAAAATGCTGTTATCACTAAAAAAGCCTCAGGCAGTGTCAGTATTCAAAGTGCACTTAATTATGTGTCATTAAAGTCAGGTTCCACTCAGAAGAGTGATTAAAAATTGCATATAGGCTTTCATATATAGTGTGCCCCAGACACTCCAGAACTAATGTGCTTTTTTTACAGGTGAAAAGGTTTTTCTAATTTCTGTTCCTACCAAATCTGACAAGTCAGGCATTTTTTGTTTGTTTGTTTCTTTTTTTAAAAAGTTATTTTCCAGGCTAGAATTGCATTTTAAGGCCTTTTTTGGTTAAAGTAGCATTGCATTAACATGTACTGCAGCTTCAGCAAATGAAAGACAAGCTGGTCTGAGACTTTCAAGCCTGCCAAAGGGAGCTAGATACTCGAATCCCACTGAGTTTGGTACCCAGGTGCCCCTTAAGCTTCTTTGAAAAATCTCAGCCCTTGTGGTTGTGTGCTCTGTAAAATTAGGAAGGAGCTTGGCAAGGGGAAGAAGCTTTGAGATCCAACACATGATTTTTTTTTTTAAATGAATGAAAGACTATTTTCTATGTGTTCTTGATGTACTACACACTCAGCAGAAATGTTTTGAATGTGAGGAATTGTATACAGGAATCTGGTGGCTTTAAGACATCTACCTACCCACCCATCGATAAATAACCACCCATCAGAACAGAAAACACAAGGAAGCTTAACAACAAAAATAACTGCCTTTTCAGTGCAAATGAGTTCACATGGAATGTATTCTACTGTCCAGTTTCATTATTTCCACATTAACTACACTATTATGTTGTTTGATACCATAGTGGATGAGGTGTGTATGCAAGGCAGGTAGAATACAGTGACTACTGTAATACGCAGGCATACAAAGAGGACAGGTTAATTACAGGCACAAATATGGGAATGCAACATATTTCAGTAACAAGGCAAGTGTTCAGTTGCAATCAAACATAGCAGCAATCTGAACAGAGGTGTTAACGAGCAAGTAGAAGTCACAAGCCTTTGTTTCAGTAGAATGAAGTGGTTTTATTAGGCAAAGCCATTTGGAGGTGAACCCACAAACCTGAGTGTTTCTCATACTGGAGACAGTCTGGGTGGAGTCTTTCCTACCCAGTTAGCCCCCAACCACAAGAGTATGATTCATTCATGGAAAATGTTTGCAATGCCGGAGGAGAATATGAACACTATTGTCACTCAAGTGGTTATTATGCCTCCATTCTCTCTGCCCTCCCCTTTCTTTCAAAGTTCTGAGTCCGCCTCCCGTACCTCCATCCATTAAGGACATTCAACAACCCTACATGAAATACAGTTTACTAAACTTATTGACTCAAGAGCTGTAATTAGCTTGTGGATCTGAAATTTAAGACACCCAGACAATCTGTGTGCTGGCAACAAATTACTGTACAGCTCCAAACCGTAAATTCCCTATTTATAAAATTAACCATTCTGCCAAAAAGTTAGCAGGAAGGTTCTAAGTAGCTAATATGCAGACACAAAAGTTCTATCCAGTGTATAAAACTGAGGTTTGATTCTGGTGCTCCTGATTGGGTTAGAAAGCTGTGTGCTCTGGTGCAACATTCCAGTGCAAGTGCTAGCCCTTTACAAAGGCAGTGAAGGTCAAGGAATGAGTGATCTGAAGTACAGGAACAAGCAATCCAGCACGGCAGGATTTAATTGCTTACGCTCCTACAATGATGGACTTGGTTAACAGCACTTTTTGGGGGAAAAGAAGCATATGCTACTTACATAGAGCTTTCCGAGAATTCCCACAGAGACGCTAGTGCTAAAATAAACTTGGGCTTGAGCAAGGCATTAAGGGATAGATTTTCTAATTGCCTCTTACAGAGGCATTTTGTAAACATTGCAAAGACTCTTACAAAAAACCTGGATAGGATCCTTTGGCAGGATACAGACTGGGAGGTAGCTCAATTCCCAGTTACACTGAGGCACACAGGTTAAGTGACTTGCCCTAGCCAGGAAAAACAAACTCCCAGCTTTCTGCTTTAACCACTATATCACGCAGCCTTAAGGAGGCATCATAAACCAGGGAGCCATATTAAAAAAAGGCAGCTCCCTGGAAATCAGAGCTCAGAAGCAGCTGAAATAACAAAGAAGTCAAAGGAAGCCAAACAGCCCAAACCAAATGTGATGCGTTTGTGAGAGATGGACAAGGCTTTGTATGTGTGTAAACAGAGTTAGGCTTTGTTGCAGCCTGAAAGCAAATTAGAATCATCTCCCCAGAGAAAACTCAATTGCTGGACAATGACTGGTGTCCACCTGTCTGAAAATCATGCAAAAAGTGGGATTTCATCATCTCCAAAGAGGGGGGGAACGTGGTATTCTAACAGAGTTACAAAATGACTAGTCAAGCAGCAGCTTCAAGAACAGCAACAGGAGACAATATGAATGGGGCAATTGTCCCTAGTTTTCCCCAAGCTCTCCACTCACAGATGATTTGGGAGGGGGACCCTAACTGAACAGAGCCTACAAGATTACACTTGCCACCCCCTGATGGATATTTCATGAGTGTCTGCTGCTGCCTCTCTCAGTGCCTAAGGGAGTCTGCTTCAACCCTGAGAGGCTGCTTGCTCAGCAACACACTTCCCAGTATCTAGAGACCACAAGACAGTCAGAGGTTACAGTTGTGTATAGATTCTGGCTCAAAGCGGGAGGCTACTGTGGTTGGAAAAGTCAGTAGTCGCACTTCTCCACCCCTCCAGTCCCTAGGATCTAGACCTCAGGTGGTGGTACAGCAGCTTCAGGACCTTAGTAGCATAGAGCTGAAGCCAGAATTGCTTTCATGGTGGAAGTGGAATAGTTCAGTAATATCTTGTGGCCAGGACCCCTGGAGAGCTGGTGTGCATATAGAAGATGGCAGCAAGGTTGTTGTTAGAGGAATGTTCAACAGTCTCGACCCAACAGGACTGCAACACAGAGTAAGACAACAGATCAGGGCATCTGCCCAGAACCTCTATTCCTGGGGAAGGAGAGAGATGAATGCTATTTGTTAAAACCTAGGTGGCCCAGGGAGGCTACTGCTTTAAAGTATCATGACATCCAATTTTAAAAACCATGGGGGTACAAACAGGAAAGTGTCTCTTGGGTCCTTCACCGCTCCTTCCTTTCAAGGAATAAGCGTGGAAAAAATAATGGCGTCAGCATATTAATTTTAATGTTAATTCCCCATTCCTTTTCATTCACAAACACAGATTATTTTATGGAGGAACCTGTTCTCTATAGCTCTCCCATACTTCCAAGCATAGCTGGGGCATATTTTTAAGGTCTGTTCTGTTCCTAATGGATTTCTAAGGAAGTAACTTTAGCCACAAGAAGCCCATAGATATCTTGTTAAACTGGATGATGGGCTTTGAAAAGGATCCTGTGATAATGGAATGCACTAAGCTATCTAGAACGACTGAAGGACACAAAGGTTTGGTTTTTGTTTTTTAAATAACTCATGGCATCCAGAAAGTTTATTAGAATCTGAGAAGGAAACTGTGCGACTGATGCACTGTTTTGTTGCTGGCCTGGTTTGGTTATGAGCCATGGGTAAGGTCCTAGCTATGCTACAAATCGGAACCACGTTTGCCCCTAGGTTACAAGTTGTGACCGGGCTCCCTGATGTGGTAGTCTTTGGGACGCAGGTAGAGCCTTAAAGAACAAAGGATGAACCCTGCAAAAAACACCAAGATTTTGCAAACACTCGTCTACAAAGCCTCGCTGATCATCATCTTCCCAGACCTTGGTCCCAGCCCATAATGTGAAAGATAAGCCTTTGTACCAGTAAGGTAAGGCTGCATTAAAAGGAGAAGTGGTAAAGCAGTGTCCCACACAGCATAAGAGTGTCCAAGGGCTGAACTTATACTTATGATGACTCTGTGTTGAGCTCACACAAGAATTTGGCTAAGGATTCAGAGAAAGAGGATGCTAAGGTGGTCTTGGAACTTGTTGGCGTCAGAAAAATCCCAGCCACTAGGTAGAATTTGTTCAAAGTTGGCAGTTTAATCCTGCATACATTTCCTTAGCAATAGCAAGTACAGCTTACTATCACTCTTCTCAGAATATAGACACTTGAAGATCATACGCTTGTGCATTTCTTCTGGGCCACAGAGTGATATTTGAACTGCAGGGGGATTTAACGATCTCTCACCTCTGTGCAGAGAAGTGAGAAATGTTATGAACCGATGAGAGAGGGAAGTCAGAAGAACAGTGTCTCTTCCTTTTCTAACACTAATTCTGCCACCCTCTGTAGAGGATTTTTTATTTTAAAGGGTGTATAGAAACGCTTTCCTACTTTAAAGTAAAACACATGGACCATTTAGAAAGAATCTCTGATAGAATCTGTGCCCAGAAAACTAACTGAAGCTCAGTTTTTCCTTTGCTCACCTACCAAGTCCTGGGTTGTCTTTCTCCCATACTACAGCTGGGAACAGGATGGGCACCTATCCTGATGTGAGAAATGCAGCTCCCTGCCCTGCGATACTGCTAGCTGCTGCAGAAATCAGGTCCGTAGCAGGTAAAGGGCCTCTTAATTTACCTTGGTTGCACTGAATTCCTAGCACTTTTCCCGTGGTGATCAATGCTCTTTTTGAGTTATTATTTTACAGAGACACTGTCAGTAGTTTAAACCCAAACTTTAGTAGTTGGGTAAAGAAATGAAACTTTCAAAAATATTCAGCCAAAACAGTTTTCCCATTTAGACTGAAACCTTCCCTGGTGGTGTTATAAATCCCACCATGCAGCACTGATCTCTTACAAGACAGCCAGGAAGTAAGAATGGATCAGGGGAGTTTCATTGTCCAGTGAAAAAATTAAACACAAATCTAAATGGTGAGACATTAGGGTTTTAAAAGTTATTTCAAAGCTAGGTGGAGGTCAGACAGTGCAGACTTGCTGTCTTACTATGCAACAGATCCTCAGCTGGTGTAAATTGACATAATTCCATTGAAGACAATCAAGCTGTGCTGTTTTACACCAGTGGAGGATCTATTTTTAGGCTAACAGTGTCTCTTTAAATGTTATTTTTGTTTCACTCTGCATGATTTGTGTAATTTATCTAAAACAAAAAAACTGAATTCTAGATGTCAGTCCAGCTGGGCTAAATGTTACAGAAAGCACCACTTCACTATTCTGACTGACTATCATTGTTTACAAGTAACCACATATGCTGGATTTGAATACAAGCCTCCCACTACAAGCTGCAAGGCATATATTTAAGACACAAGTAGGAAGGTACATACAAAACAGTTAGCATAATTCCACTGTACTTCCTAGTGTGTCACAAAACAGCACATATACCTGTTATGACAGACAAACAGTAAAGCATTTCTTCACAGCATCCCTGTGGAGAGAGAGAGAAATACTGACATGACTGGGCAGATTCCCCAAATATTTCATTGCAGTAACCAAGATATGCTGCTTGAAGACAGACATTTATTCCTGCACAGTGTACATTTCCATATGTAAGGCTGCAGCATTCCCCCTGCATAACATATGTGTATGCAACCTGTGTGATATGTACATAGTGGAGACAACTTTCAGTTTTGTTTAAATGGGAGATGCAGCTATGTACTTGTCTGGGGGGGAGAGGGGGGGAGAGAGCAGGAAAGTGGGGGAAAAGAGAGGATGCCAGAATTGGACACACGTTTGTACGCATACACGCTAAAACAAGTATTAAAAGAAATCTTAAATGCATACAAGAAAATCTAAATTAAGGTTCCCACAGGACAGCTAGTTTAGCTCCATTGTTCATCTGTAGTATTTTGGATTATTGCTTAGGTTTTCAAAAGGCAATTCTTAGGATTCCATTGCAGACTATGTACCACGTAGCTAAGGACTTGACTACTTGGGAATACTCAGTAAAGTTATGGCAAATCAACTAAAGGTGCGAAGTAAATGCACTGAAATGAAAACATGCTAAACACATCCATGTGGATGCTCTCATCCAGGGGTAAAGTGGCTTTAGTTCACTGAGATTAAGGCCAGGTCTGCACTACAGACTTATATTGGTATAACTACGTCACTCAGGGGTGTGAAAAATCCACCAACCTAGCGCTTTCTACACAGGGGGTTAGGTCAACAGGAGAGCTTCTCCTGCCAACATAGCTACTGCCTCTCAGAAAGGTGGATTAACTACACCAGTGGGAGAGCTCTCTTCCATCGGCTTAGAGTGTCTTCATTAAAGTGCTGCAGCTGTGCCGATGCAGCGTTTTAAGTGTAGACGTGCCCTAAGTACAAGGTAGAACAGATTAGTAAGCATAGGAGCTAGGACATGTTGCAAGAGATCATTCAAGATGAAGCAGGTAGTTAACACCTCTGCAGTCAGAGGACAAAGGACATCTCCCTCAAGTGACAAGCCTACATTTCATTGGGCAGCATGGGATATTTCTGCAGGTGTGAAGACCACTGGGTTTGTCACAAGGGACCTGGGTGGATTTGGCAACTGACAGGACAAGCTTGTCATCAATGTTCTGGAGGGCGGCAGTGTTTGAGAATATGGGGGAGTTTAATAATTTGTGAGATTTATTTGACAGTATATTCATACAGTCTCATGCACTTTATAGGTTACATGCCTCAGAATGCAGTGTGCCTTTCAGTGCATACAACATTTGAAAAAAAGTAGTGGGTGAGTTTCAGCAAAAAAGCCAGCAAACATGATGGGACCTCTGATGTTTCCTGGGAGGAGGGAAAAAGAGAAAGGAAGGGGATGGTAAGAACTCCTAACCCCCTGCTGCCATGCCCCACCCCAGAAACAGCTGCATTTCAGTCACGGGTAAAAAATTCTTAGGTGTTTAGTTTGTAATCAACTCTAAGGTCATTCAGAAAAAACAACAGCACATAACCATTTTAAAACCATACAGTTTATGGGGGAGTTAACTGTAAGATAGTGTTTAATAAGAAAAAAAAATCAAGCTTACCTTGCAAACGGTATGAAAGAAATGCTGTACCTAAGAGAGGAAGAGAACATTAAAAAAATTGAGTTACCATTCACTTCAGATTACATTAAACTCCTCCCCACACCACACTGAAACAGAGACAGAAGTGTCTCAGGGCAGGTCTTTACTACCTGCCGGATCGGCGGGTAGTGATCGATCTATCGGGGGTCAATTTATTGCATCTAGTGTAGACGCGATAAAATCGATCCCCGATCGTGCTTCCCGTCGACTCCAGAACTCCAGCTCGCGAGAGGCAGAAGCGGAGTCAACGGGGGAGCGGCAGCGGTCGATTCACTGCCGTCCTCACGGCCAGGCAAGTCGACCTAAGATACGCCGACTTCAGCTACGCTATTCGTGTAGCTGAAGTTGCGTACCTTAGGTCGACCCCCCCGCTAGTGTAGACCTGGGCCAAGTGTACATAAAGACAAAACTCCAGTTCAAGTAGTGGAAAGGCATGCAAGCCCCTCCTCAGCCATCCTCCTGAAAACAACTTTGTTGAATCCATGAAGTTCCACAGCAAAGCTATGGCTTGCTATAAAAATGTTTATTAATAATAATCTTCCTCTCTCTGAAACCCTACATGCACCAAGCACTGGGGCAAGTAGGATTGGTCATCTGGCTAGTGATGTACTGGGTGACTTGAATAAGGACACCTAGTCAACCTTCTATTTCTATAGCATCTGTAGCAATGAACCTGGGAAGCTGTACAAAAGTAATAATAATGAAAAGGAAACTGGCCCTAACCAATCCTGATCTAAACCACACAAAGTAAAGAGAACAGTCAAGAACAATATAATCCAGCAAGGAAGAGCTAGTGTAAAAGGGAGGACTGAATGGGCAAAGGCAAACTGATCCAAACAAGGGAACCTTGCTGCTGGTTCCAAAAAGAGCAAGAGAGACTCTGGGAGGGAATCCCAGTGAGAGAGATTCTGCAGTAGAAGTGCTCTTCCCCCAGCCCATTCCAAGTAGAACTCTGGAGCAGAGAGCAGGCACAAGCCATCTGATCTCAAATGGCTTGCAGGACAGTCACTCATGAAGATCAGGTTATTAGGATTAATTTGGCTAGGTCAGGGGTCAGCAACCTACGGCATGCGAGCCGATTTTGAGTGGCATGCAGCTCCCCTGACGCGGTCCCGGCCCCCAGCCCCACTCAGCCCCCCGCTCTCCCCTGCGGGGGCAGGAGGCAAAAGCTTGGTTCTGCAGCAGCCAAGCTTTCCCCCTCCCCCGCTTCTTCCCCCAGCGTGGTGCTTTCCGGCCCCTCCTCCTCTCCTTCCCTGTGCCAATCAGCTGATGGCCCTAGCGAGGGGGAGGGGGAAGTGTGGCAGCGTGCACACCGCTCTGTAGGGGGCTGGGAGCACCCCCACGAGCCGAGCACCCCAGCCTTCTGCCCTGCACCCCCACACCCCAAGCCCTCTGCCCTGAACCCCCCCAGACCTGATCCTGAACCCCCCCACACCCAGCCTTCTGCCCTGCACTCCCCACACACCCCCAGCCCTCTGCCCTGATCCCTGAAACCCCCCCCACACACACACCCCAGCCTTCTGCCCTGAACCCCCTCCCCCAGCCCTCTGTCCTGACCCCTGAAACACCAACCTCCAGGTCTGGGGTCCCGGCCGCAGGCTCTACTCAGCCCACTGCCGGCCTAGGTGAACAGAACCCCAGGCTAGCAGCGAGCTGAGCAGGCTGGTGGCGTAAGATCAGCATTTTAATTTAATTTTAAATGATGCTTCTTAAACATTTTGAAAACCTTGTTTACTTTACATACAATAGTTTAGTTATATAATATAGACTTATAGAAAGAGACCTTCTAAAAACGTTAAAATGTATCACCGGCACGCGAAACCTTAAATTAGAGTGAATAAATGAAGACTCGGCACACCACTTCTGAAAGGTTGCCTACCCCTGGGCTAGGTGGTTCGTGTTTGGGTGGCGAGAGGAAAGGGAGAACTCCCCTACCATAATTCATACAACTTCACAGTCCTCTGACAGTCTATCAACTAAAGCTAGTTTTAATCCAAGCTACTGGGTGGGGGACGCAGAGGCAGCTTTAGCAGGGGTTCATGCACCCACAGAAATCATCAAACCAATGGTGCCAAACCCAAGTGACGCTGCAGCCCTGTGTGCCAGGTTGAAATGCCTGAAACTGCAGCCAGGCCCAGGAGCTGCTATTGTGGTGCAGGCTCGCACTCTCCCACCCCTCTCCAGAACCTCCCCTCTGCACCAGGCCAGGATAACGGTTGCAGTGCCAGGGGAAAGGGTGCTGCTGCAGATGGCTGGTGCCCCCTTGACTATAACTCAAAATCCATCTCCTAGAAGAGTTTAGGATAGCATGCCCAGTGAATTCAGATGCTACACCTGCCCCTATGGGGGGGGGGGGGGGGGGGGGGGGGGGGGGGGAAGGGTGGGAGAGAGAAGTTACCTACCATGCCAAGGCAAAAAATTGCAAAATGCAGAAGATGAGAGCAAGCCCCTTGTTGTGCCACTGAAAGAAGAAACAGACAATAATGCAATCAAATAATGAGCATATATATATTTGTTAATGTGCACTGGCTATATACAAGATCCAAATACTCACCCAGAAAGCAGAACACAATGTTAGTATGAGACACAACTAGAAGAGAACAGAGAATTTCAGTTAAAATAGAAATTACTCCACAGTTAAAATATATTTATTTTTTGCAAATATAAAGGAAGACTGAAGGGAAATTCAATTTTACACCTGATCCAATGTAAAAACTGCTATTTAAAATGCCCTATCTATACTATTTTTGAATACGAAATAAAGCAGCAAGCTGGTGAACATCACAAAAGGAAGATCACAGCTGCAGTCAAGGAACAGCAGAAGGCTTCCACAGCTTGTGGCAATTTCTATAGGTTCCTACTTTTTCCCAGGACAATTTTATTAGTTAGTGTACACATTCAAGTATACTACTTCACTTTCTTATCTAAATAGAAACAGAGAACTTTCCAGCTGCTCTCTGTCTCTGGCTGCAGCTCTGATTTGCCCGTCTCTAAACATGCCATGAATCTGTTTCCTGTTGAAATCACTAAGACAGCAGCCCTGGGGTATCACACAGCTACCCCGTTCATATCAGTTGAGATTATGAAAAATGTTCAGGTACTTTTTTAGCTACTACTTTATTTATTTATTTTAAAATGTTACAAGGCCTGAATGTAGGAATGATCCATCCACTTCAGGCATCTGTAATGCCTACAACCTACATCTACTAAAAAATAGGAGCTGCACAGTTATGACACTTCTGGAGGGGCTTTTTGCTAGACTCCTTAAATTTACAGCTGAAGATCAACACTTTCACTTATAGGTCTGTAGTGTAGACCCAGCCAATCAGTATAACTACATTGGCTCAGGGGTGTAAAAAATCCACACCTTTGAGTGATGTAGTTATTCTGACCTAACCCTCCGTGTAGATGGTGCTATGTAGATGGGAGAGCTTCTCCAGTCAACAGAGCTACCGCCTCTCAGGGAGGTGGATTAAATACACCACGGGACAGCATCGTCGCTAAAGCGCTACAGCTGCACCGCTGTACATGAAAATAGACCCTTTGTTGAGGTGCTTCAAAGCTGAAAGAGCCTACAGCTAGTAACCACCTAGATCAGTGGTTTTCAACCTGTGTCTAAGGGGTCCACGAAAGGTTGTCGTTACCATAGAACAGTGGTTTTCAACCTGTTGTCTGCAGACCCTCTCCGGATCCGCAGACTACACCTAAGATTTCCAAAGGGATCTGCACCTCCATTCAAAATCTTTTAGGGGTCCACAAATGAAAAAAGGCTGAAAACCACTAACCTAGATGCATTTGGCTAAGCGGCAAAGTTCCCACAAAAATTCAATTATACATGAAGCTGTAAGTCACCTGAGGATGACCAGAGTCTCCAAATACCTTGTTATGAAACAACATCTACAGGCATTTTAGCAAAGAGTGAAACTAGCAGCTAGGGTAAGTAGAAATAAGAGATAAAAATAAGAGGGTTGACACTCTAATGTTACATTTCTGTCTGCCTACATCTCCACTTGTTTCATCCCAAACCCTCTTCTAAATAACTCCCAGTCCCCCTCCTGCCTTCACATCTTCTTTTATGTTGTGTGTGTGTGAGAGAGATCTCCAAAACCACTTCAGCAACACCTATCAATCCCCTCAGTGATGATGGTTCTACTTCTTCACGTACTTAAACCACTGCCCCCTGCACTGTATTGCCCTGATTTAGGCTATGCTCTTCAGAACAGGGGACCTGTCTTTTTCAATGTTCTCTATAACTATATACCTCTCCAGTGCTATAAGAACAGGAATAAAAGCAGCACAGTGAAACGTACCTAGATCAAAGCAGTATTGATGACTTTGTACTGTAATTTTGCACTGAATTGAGACTAGTTAAAACAAGATCCTTTGATACTTACTAGCATAACAATAGTAGCTATCAAACGAGTAGGCTCAAACATTCTTTTCAATTGTCTCATAGGTCCCATAAGGAAAAAAGTGCTGTAACAAGCAAAACAACATAACACAGACACATAAAACATCTACATACAGCAACAAAATTAGATTGTTAGATGCCCTAATCAAGCATGCTTACTGTGCTGTAATAAATTGACGTTCTGTCATAGAGGATCACTACTATACTAGATACCAGTGCCTATGTTATTATGGTGATTGATGCTATCCGTATAGCAAAGACAGCCAGGCAGTACTATAAAATAAAAATCAGTATCCTACTGACAATGGGGAAGATACATACCAAGAACTGGGCACCAAACAAACTAAGAGTCTTGGGAAGAAGCAATTGCTGACATTTGTAATCTGGATTTGAACAGAGATGGAGTCTAAACATTCCAAAAGGGATGTAGGGACAAGTTTGGTGGAAGTCAATGGGTCCCATCCCAGGTCTCCATTCTGATTTGACAAAAGTGATCCCCGAGATACCTGGATTGCATTTACACAGACAAGTCAATGAGTTCACTTCCTACCAACGTGCTAGACACAGTCTTAAAGTGCCATCAGACTCGGCTGACTTTGTAGAACAGTGAGGCTCAGATTAAATTGATCTAATTTTCATTTAACTTTTTTTTTTTTTTTTTTTTTTTTTTTTTTTTTTAAATCTTAGCTTGTTTGGTCCAGCTAATGTACCCGTTTTCTCTCTGGTTCTAAGATGACTCCTCTCCTCCCACCTGTTGCTGACAACAGGCTGCCACTGCTTCAGTCAAGAGCAGCCCAAGATACAGTATAATGGAGGAGATAAGGTGGTGGGAGAGAGAAGAAAGCGATCCCAAGCCAGCCACTGATGACGAGAGAGAAGTAGTCAAGTAGAGTATTCCTGTGACGATCAGCCAGATGGCAAGTACCCAGGACAGCCACATAGCCATTGGCATGCTTAATTCTACTGCATGCCAGGGATGATGGGAGTCTCACTAGTCTTCCCTCCCGCCCAGTCACGTGGCAATGAGTTACACAGTCAAATTACACACTGCATGAAAAAGTGCTTCCTTTTATTGGCTTTGAATTTCCCAACTTTTAATTTTACTTAAGTGTCCTCTGATTCTTATGTTACGAGACAAGGAGAACAGGCTTTCCCGCGCTAACCTGTCTAGAAAATTCATTACTTAGTACTTGTATCACATTCCCTCTTTCTAAGGTAAACAATTCCAATCTTTTCAATCTTCAATCTTGAGTTTTTCCATGCTTTAGATCATTCTCATAGCTCTTCTTAAATTAAAAAGAAATATTTACATGATAAATATTGCAAAGTCCAGGTTAAAAAAAAATTAAGGACCCACATATCCTTGAACATATCAACTCGTGTCCCACCTTAAAAAACCAAGTGTTCTAGCTCGAATTCTGTAATATGCTGTTTGAGATGGGGTGACCACCATGGCACACAGCATCACAGATGAGGCTGCACCTTTGATCTATGTAATGGCATTATAGCAGTCTCCATATTATTTGCCACCCCATTCCTTACATATTCTAAAATCTTGTTTGTTTTTATGTCAGCTGCACATTGTAAATAGCTCAATGAAGACCTCTTCCCAATGATGGCCAGGGTCTCTTGTGAGGCCAGCGAGACTAGCTACACAGATATGCCTCCAGCATGGACTAATAGCTGATGGTTCAGAGGAAAGTGTAGAAAGCCACAATGATGCACCAAACAATACATAAGTTATGTAGATGTCTTCCTGACCTCTGCAGGAAGCATGAGATTTGATTCCTCTTATTTCAGCAAGTATATCCAGACAATATTTGATTCAAACAATAAAGACAAAATACCAGTTGAAACTGTTTCGTTTCCCAAGAACTGGACTGTTTAAATCAGTCATGTTTGTTCCTCTTCTATTACTTCTGAATTTTAGAGATCCGTACATAGAAGTGAACATTCAGCCTCACATCCCATCATTTCCACCACTCAGACAAGCATGTATACATTCACACACCCTCATTCTGTTCCCATTTTCTGCCTTTGTATCAGGTAGCTAATTTACAGAAATGTTACCTTCCAAGGGATGCAATATTCCCCAGAGTGTAAAATACTGCAAAGAGAACTAGTCCTCTCCTTGGCACCCATAGCAGGCAAGTACCCTGAAAAGGAAGATAAGGGAACATAAGAACAGCCATACTGGGTCAGACCAAAGGTCCATCTAGCCCAGCATCCAGTCTTCTGACAGTGGCCAGTGCCAGGTGCCCCAGAAGGAATGAACAGAACAGGTAATCAAGTGATCCATCCTGTCACTCATTCCCAGCTTCTGGCAAACAGAGGCTAGGGACACCATTCCTGCCCATCCTGGCTAATAGCCATTTATGGACCTATCCTCCATGAATTTATCTAGGTTTTTTTTTTTGAACCCTGTTATGGTCTTGGCCTTCACAACATCCTCTGGCAAGGAGTTCCACAGGTTGACTGTGTGTTGTGTGAAGTAATATTCCCTTTTGTTTGTTTTAAACCTGCTGCCTAGTAATTTCATTTGGTGACCCCCAGTTCTTGTGTTATGAGAAATAGTAAACACTTCCTTATCTACTTTCTCTACACCAGTCATGATTTTATAGACTTAACTGGATAAAAATTGTTTCATGTTGCAACAAAAATAGCCCCAAAACAGTGTTTTTAGTAGCACTGAAGAAGCACTAAAAAAACTTAAACTTGAAGGGCAGTTACAAAAGTTGGTTTGTGTTTGTTCACATTCTTTATAGTGATCAGAGCATTACACTTGCTGATAGAACCCAGTTTCCCTTTTTATAAAAAGGGTTTTGAAATGTTTTGCTTTCATCAGGGATGGGACAATCCCCGAAACTGAAATCAATTTCTGCACAAATGGGCAATTTTGCCATATTTGTGCAAATCTTATTCTTTAAACAAAAGTAGGAATATCCGATACATGGATATAGTACAAAAGGATGTAGTTCCATCTACAAGGCCAGTTTTACCATGTCAGGGACCGTGTTCATAACAAGTGCGCCTTCCCGACTCTATTGTAACAGTTTGATCTGACCTTTGTAGACTGATTAAATCATGTTACCACACAATCCCTCAATTTGCCTATGTAGATGAATCCTTAGTATTGTCTGGCTCAGTCCTCCTGCCTGGCCTGAATCCCATTCCCTTCCTGAACCCTAGCACTAGTTTACCAGTCCCATCCCACGTAGCCAACCGCACATCATTCCTCTTGGTACTTGAGAATCATGTTCCATACAAGTTGCATATTGATCCACACATCACCCAGTCCTCCACAAATCAAAGAGGAAGTGAACTGATCATCTTCTTGATTTTTAGTTTATATTTAGTTTAATTTTATAGCTGCATTTCAAAGTTTTCCCTTCCCAATCCAGATGCCTGCTCAAAATCCCAAGCAGTTAGCAGAACTGGGGCCAGTTTGTACATCATTTTGTTATCCGCTTTCGGGTGCTATAAAAAGTAACTGCAGCGCTCGAAACGCAAGCCTCCTCCTAGAGCAGAAGTTGACAGACAGAGAAGAACTTACCAGGACAGAGCACAGAACTCCTAGGGCAAAACAAGCGATGAAGCCTTTCACTCTCGTGCCCCAGCTTAATGAAGTTGTATCAACTATCTGGAAGCCAAAAACAAATAAAGACACATATCCTTTAACACAGTGATTCTCAAACTTTTGTACTGCTGACCCCTTTCACACAGCAAGCCTCTGAGTGTGACCCCCCTTATAAATGAAAAACATTTTTTTATATTTAACCCTATTATAAATGCTGGAGGCGAAACAGTATTTGGGGTGGAGGCTGACCGCTCGCGACCCCCAAGTAATAACCTTGCAACCCCCTGAGGGGTCACAACCCCCAGTTTGAGAATCCCTGTTTTAGCACATCAACTTGTGTCCCAACTTAACAAAACAAACTTTATAGCTCTATTTCCATCAGCAGCTTAAGCACCATCTGAAAAATATTCCACTAGAACACAAAAATAAAAAAAAAAAATGAATCCATATACAATAGCAATACTGCTAACAGAGAGCTCAGTTTTGAAACCACACTGCAAGCAGAATTCCCACTAAAGTAAATGAGAGCCATATGTTATTACCTACAGAACGAGGCCCCTATCAAGTCCTAGACACCTACAATAAGTGAATAGCTTGCCACAATACTATATAGTTTGTTTGTTCTGCTATATTTGTACCTACATACCTAACCTTTCCTGTTCTTCTATTAGCAGACACATATCCACCTCAGTGAGCATAGGTTTTTCACCTCCACTTTAAGGTCTGGTCCTACACCTAAAACTTAGGTCAACCTAACTACCTCACTCAGGTGTGCAAAAAAAAAAAAAAAAAAAACACACCTCAAAAAAAAAGTTAAACCGACCTAAGCTCTAGTGCAGAAGCTGCTAGGTCGACAGAAGATTCTTCCATAGAATTAGCTGTTGCCTTTTGTGGGGGTGGATTTACTACAGTGATGGAAAAACCCGCTCCATCTCCGTAACAAGTGTCTACACTACAACACAGCAGCAGTGAAGTTGCAGCACCACAGCTGTGACACTACAGCACTTGTAGTGTAGCCATCCTCTCAGTTATTATTTATCAATTTCCCCTCTACAACCCTTAATTTCGATATTCACTGGAAGTGAATCAGGCAGATTCCATTCAAATTTTCAGAGAAAAAGCAGTTTATAAAAAGCACCACAATTTGTTTTCTATGTTGCATTCATCTAAATGGAACAGAACTATAATGCTGCTATTTCATCAATCTAGTCAGAGTGAAGTCCTTGCAACACATTTCCTACCCACCCACAAACATCCAGTTGGATACACTGAACAGCAAAAAGTTACTGAACTCTAGAATTGATGAATACGTGAGGATGTTAGCCCTTACACACTAGCGCGTATTTAGTTTTAGACACATGGGATGAAGGTGAGGGAAAGAAGTTGGATGGGACTATGAAGTCGTTTTCATGCATTCAGTTGGAAATCATTTAAATACATGACATCAGACTAGTTTCTAGTAAATTTAGTCACCTTTCCACATATAAAACATTCTTAAAAAATTAAGCCCCTTTATTTTAAAAGTTGCATGGCATCAAATTTGGCTCAAGATTTAAGCTTTGCGGGAAGTAGCTTTTTATAAAATCCAAGAACAAAAATGTTTACACTATTTTTGTAAAAACAAACCAAACAATTTGTTTCAAAGAAACAAATAACCATTCCCCTGCAGTGTTGGAAACCCAAACAATGTAGCACTCAGAACCTGAAAACAAAACCATAAACCAAGGTGGAACTGATTTACATTGTCTAAGAGGAAAGAAATGCAGTGAGTCAACAAAGAGCACAAACAGTGACAGATACACTGGGTGGCTAAAATTCTTTCCCTTTAAACACTCTGACAATGTTTAAAGTTATTGATAGTACAGATAACATTTGTTTACAACATGAGCTCTGACCCTGGTTAGCACAATGTCTGTGTGGCCGGAACGGGAGTTAGGCTTGAGTCTGAGCCCGGGGTTACGCTGCAGTGAAGGCATACCTTAGGTCAGCGGCTCTCAACCTTTCCAGACTATATATCCCTTTCAGGCGTCTGATTTGTGTACCCCCAAGATTCACCTCACTTAAAAACCACTTATTTACAAAATCAGACCTACAAATACAAAACTATCACAGCACATTGTTACTCAAAAGTTGCTTACCTTCTCATTTTTACCAAGTAATTATAAATCAATTGGAATATAAATATATTACATTTCAGTATCTAGAGCTGTATAAACAAGTCATTGTATGGGGAAATTTGGAGTTTGTACTGACTTTGCTAGTGCTTTTTCTGTAGCCTGTTGTAAAACTAGGCAAATATCTAGAGGAGCTGATGTACCCCCAGACCACCTGCGTACCCCCAGAGGTACAGGTATCCCTGGTTGAGAACCACCGGACTAGGTGGCGAGCGACCCTGTAAAGCTCCCATGTCCGCCCCATGGGAGCGTGCTGCGATGCCCAGCTGCCCGGCCCAGACCCGGCTCCCCGGGGGCAGGGCGGGGCTGACTGGCCGGGCACCGCCGGGCACCGCTCCCCTCGCCAGAGCGTTCACTGAACTTTGCGTTCCCGGGCGGACCGCGGGGTTCGTCGCCCCCCGCCCCGCCGGGCTCGCAGCAGGGCACGGGCCGGAGCGGGCCCGCAGAGGGGGAGGGGAGGCTCGTTACCTCGCCTAGGCCGCCCTGCTCCTCCGCGTCCTGCCCGTTCAGAACCCGCTTGAGCTTGTCCATCCTGCCCGGCTCCCGGCCCCCAGCTCCGCCGCCCGCTTCCGTGGCCCGTCTACTTTGCTACTGGCCTGCCCCGCCCCCGGGACTACAACTCCCAGCGTGCACCGCGGCCAGGAAGTCGCCGGTTTCTAGCCAACCCCGCGGCTAATCCGGCGCAGTGCATGATGGGAGATGTAGTCCCGACCCGCTGGCGCAGTGCATGATGGGAGATGTAGTCCCGACCCGCTGGCGCGGTGCGTGCTGGGAGCTGTAGTGTGTATTGGCCTTTCTGCTGAAAGGTGTTGCCAGCCCTCAGTGGCACTTGGCTCCTATGCCAAGGCAGCTAGTAGCGAGGCATCAGCCTTCACTTGTGGCATGCTGGTCCTTTTTACACACTCACAGTGCCAATCAGAGCAGCCTCCAACACAGCATTACCAGCTCATGATTTTATGGCAAATCTCCCACTATTTGGTGCTTTCCCTAAAGCCCCAACTCCCAGAATTGAGAGAATCTAAACTTTCATTTAAAAAGTTTCTAGACATCAGCATTGTGGAGAAATGCTGGGGAATAGGACCGAAGTCTAATCCAAAGGCTCAAAAAACAGAACACAAATGAAAAAAACAGCAAACATTTATTATTTTAAATATGGTATTTTTAAAGCCAATCTCACTGTTTTGGGGTGCCAGCATCATGATTTTTGAATGCTTGGATTTGGCAACGTTTCTTAAGTCATTCTGCTGCGCAAAAGGGTCCGCTGACATTACTTCAGTCATATTTAAGGTGATCTATTACTACAAAATAATATAAATAGCATGCCAAGTGCCTATATAAGGGCAACTTCTATTTTATTGTTTTTCTTAAAATGGAGCATATTCATCTTTTTTAGTTTTCTCCCTGACCCACTATTGTTTAAAAACCACCATTGTATATAGTGTCTTATTTCTACCCAACTTTAAAAAACTCCAAAAGCCAGTGTTCTGTTAATCATTTCTTCACTACTTTCTTTGGGTACATATTTGCTTTCCTCTTTTATTTAGCTAATGCTTAAGAAGGTTGTTTATCGGGCTTCCAGAATATCAATTATTTATATAGCAAGATTATTGAAGACTTGAAACATTGAGACCATAAGCAACCATAGTTGCCTTTTTGGCCTGCTCCAGCAAATTTTTTAGTACATGCTTTATGCACTATTCATTATGCATATAGATGTGCAGAAGTGTTTGCAGGATCAGGCCCTAGTATGCAAAAGATCTTGGTAACACATAGGGCTAGCTCCTGCATCCACTGAAGTCAATCATAAAATTTCCATTGATTTCAAGAGCGCAAGATCAGGCACTTAGTTACTAAGTATGCTGTAAGCTATTAATACAAGAACAGTAATATACATGCTTTCAAAATAAACCTGCTCTCTCCTGTTTTGCAAACAATGCATTTTGAAACATTTTCAATTCAGAATTGTAAATTCCGTTAAGAATATTCCACAATGCTAAACTTTGAAAATGTCAAGTTGCACTATACCTCTACCCCGATATAACACGACCCGATATAACACAAATTCGGATATAACACGGTAAAGCAGCACTCCGGGGGTGGGGAGGGGGACTGCATATTCCGGCAGATCAAAACAAGTTTGATATAACGTGGTTTCACCTATAATACGGTAAGATTTTTTGGCTCCTGAAGACAGCGTTATATCAAGGTAGAGGTGTATTTTAAAACATACATGTCTTAAAAATATCATGTCTTGAAGCATTTAATAACTTCAATTACACCAAATAAATTTCTTTATGGTCTGTACTAACATCAGTTTAAGAACCAACCAAAACACTCGTGCAATGAGCAATTTCTTCATAGCTCTGGATGGAAATAAATAAGATTACTCTCTTGGAAGTGCAGATTAGTTTTTGCACAGTAAATATAGGTATATTATGATGAAAACATTCATTTTTCATTTTTTAAACAATTATAACATATTCCAAGCCTCTGGACTCATTCTTCAAATAGCTCATTGGACATTCCACCCATTCTAAAAATTGGTTTATGGCATTGGGAAATTCAACCAGGGCAACAAAACAGGGCATGTATAAGTGACAACACTGCGCCAGACAAACTAGCTTCAAACATTAATGATCTGCACAGACATGAAAGCACATCCATAGACACGTAAAGCAAGAAATGTATCTTCAATACTGTCTGCATAGCTTTTTCAGAACCCTCATGGACTTTGTTTCTTGTTTGTTTTTTTTATTTAATTACCATCCAGTAATTTTCTTCAGACATGAAGCCCGCAGTAAACAGGCAGTGTTTTGTCTTGTTTTGTTTGGATTTTTTTTTTTTTTAGGCCTGTTAACTAATTGCAGTAGGTAACTCAGGCAATTAACTCAAAACAAATTAACTCAATTAAAAAAATTTATCGTGATTAATCACAGTTTTAATCACACTGTTAAACAATAATAGAATACCAATTTAAAATTATAAATATTTTTGGATTTTTTTTAACATTTTCAAATATATTGATTTCAGTTACAACACAGAATACAAAGTGTACAGTGCTCACTTTATATTATTTGTGATTAGAAATATTTGCAAAAAAGAAAAACAGTATTTTTCTATTCACCTCATACAAGTACTGTAGTGCAATCTCTTTATTCTGAAAGTGCAACTTACAAAAGTAGATTTTTTGTTACATAACTGCACTCAAAAACAAAACAATGTAAAACTTTAGAGCCAATAAGTCCACTCAGTTCTACTTTTTGTTGAGCCAATCACTAAGACAAACAAGTTTGTTTACATTTATGGGCAATAATGCTGCCCACTTATTTACGTCATCCGAAAGTGAGAACAGGTGTTCATATGGAACTTTTGCGGCCGGCATTGCAAAGTATTTACGTGCCAGATATGCTAAACATATGCTAAACATGCCTGTTCTCACTTTCAGGTGACATTGATGTAAACAAACTTGTCTGTCTTCGCGATTGGCGGAACAAGAAGTAGGACTGAGTGGACTTGTAGGCTTTAAAGTTTTACATTATTTTGTTTTTGAGTGCAGTTATGTAAAAAAAAAAAATCTACATTTGTAAATTGCACTTTCGCCATAAAGAGATTTCACTATGAGAGTAACAGAAAAATACTATTTCTTTTATGTTTTTTACAGTGCAAATATTTGTAATAAAAAATAATGAGCACTGTGCACTTTGTATTCTGTTGTAATTGAAGTCAATATATTTGAAAATGTAGAAAAATCCACAAATATTTAAATAAATTATATTCTAATATTAACACTGCGATTAATCACGATTTCTTTTAATCTCATGATTAATTTTTTTAACTGTTTGACAGCCCTAATTTTTTCCAAGATTCACTGAGAGATGCAGTACTGTGATTCTTTAGACTGCTTTGGTTTCACAGTGTTATCCCTGAATATTTAGCGCTAAAGTGAGTTTTAAATTTCAACATGTATACACAATTTGCATCAGTTCTTGGAGAGTGGAAAGAGACGTGCTAAGAATTCCAGCTCAGACTGACTTCTAAGGAAGCCAGGAGTGTTCATCACCTCAAAGTTATCCTCTAATACAGTACTTCCCAAACTTTTCAAACCTGAACCCACACAACTGCTTTAGAAAAATTAAACCAATCACATCCTGCCTTCAACCCACCATGGGCTGTTAGAGGTCTAGCCATCTTAGTTTATACATCTTTCTTGCCCCTCCAGTTAGGCCTTTGGGTTCACCTCCCTACATAGCAGCACTTTGGGAAATGCTGCCCTATTTGTTTTCATATCTAAAGTGGTGTATCATGAGATATAAGTATCTGAAAAAGGTCTAATATACATCATCCAAGTATACTGTCATTCCTTTTATGTTTATTTTTCTAATAAAACTCAGACTTAGACAGAACTATAAAATGTTGCATACATTTTATTTAGTGATAGACAACTACAAATATAGACCATCACATATTAAACTGACCACAAAACTGCCAGAGAAGCACTTCTCCCATCCCTCTGAGGCATACAACCTGTGCACATCACATAAGACTGGCACTGGCTTCTTTCCTCTGGAAAGCTTGTATCTGAGCAGCATCCAATACACTGATTTCACAGCCTTTTGTGTATTTACACAACATAACACATTTAGAGTGACAAGAAAAAACACCCCATACTGCATTTTATTTTGCAGGGAAGTATAACTTTCTAATAGGATCCTGTGATGTCTCCAAGGTGCACGTTCCATTTAAATGCATGGTAGTCAAAAAAGATGGATATCAGATGTGTACATATTCAGAGATAAGTGCGAACTCCACAGCTCCATTTTAAACAGATCACAAAAACACTAGAAGCAGTAATGGAAGGGCTATAACACACAATATATGCTAAACATGCAATACACCCCTTCTCAATACTAGACATGGAATATGTGGATTGTTCTCCTCCATCCTGCCTCAGTGTGATGGAGCTGAACATTATCACTGACCAAACCTGAACCATAGTATTTTTAGCCAGCACACAGGTATGTTTCCTTATGTTATCAGCATCCGAACTCTCCTCTCCATCACTACCAACCACGACTCCAAAATGTCTGATTTTTTTAAGCCTCTTAAGAGGCATCTAAAATGGTGTATGCCTTAAATAAAGGATGCAGTAAGATTTACTTACCCGCACAATGGCCCTCCCTCTTTGCTCGCTGTTGTTCCCGTCCTTTGCCTTCTTTTCCCCCTCACTGAATGAGACCTAAATGTGTTTCCCCAAATTAATTTACTGTGCCTGCTTCCATGTCAAATTCCTTCCCTGCCAGATTCACTCTGTTTATCTAGATATGGGGGGCTTGACTAGGAACCAAGTGTAGGGAGAAGAAGCTTGGAGGTAGCTGGGGCCTGGTGCTGGAGAAAGAATAAATTGGGATTTTTGCATATGGGGGTTTACCTGCCTCTCAGTGGCCACATATTCAGTCATCCCACACTCTAGATGTCCCTGGGTAACATCTACCTGGAAATTAGCTAGCTCTTTGAGTAGTTAGTTATATTTTAAACTCAGTCCTCTTCTCTAGTTGAATCAAACTGATAGTAAACCGTTTAATATGTCTGTGTTGCATGCTAGTCTTTTCCAAATGTAAGGCTGCAGGTGTATTCAGGAATACTTTGCACTGATATAATACTTTACAAATTAATCCTCACAAATCCAGTGAGGTAGGAATGTATTACCCCCATTTTATAGATGGGAAACAGAGGCACAGAAAGGTTACGTGACTTACGCATAGTTATACAGTGAATCTGTGGTAGAGCCAGGACCACTGCTTAGGAGTTCCTGCCTTTCAGCCCGATGCCCACTCCATTAGACCATACTGCCTCACTGCACTTGTGAAGCCAATCTTCAGAAAGACACCTGCCATCACTATCATGGCAGGAGCTTTCTCTAAAATTCAGTGTCATCTTAAACCAAAACAGCTTTCATTCTTTTAAGTCTCAATGGTTTTCTTAATTTTTTGTAAAACATCTTATCACTATCCGTCAACTCTAAATTGCATATTTTGATGTGGAGAAGAATTAGAATATATACATTTCTTAATAAGATTAAAAGTTTTCTTCCCTCATCTGAATTATTGCCACCATCGTGGAATATTAAGTCAGTTTAACACTTAAGATTTACTTTTTGTCATCACCTGCATTTAATTCTTGCACTTCATTCAATATGGGCATGAAACCAGATTGGTCAGTTTAGGTTCTTGGTTTTCATGCTATAATCACATTGATGTGTTTAGGTTTTACGACTACATAGGGTAAATGTTTAAATCCACAAAAGTGTAAATTGTGTTGGAACAGAATCATGAATATACACACAAATACACTTTTAATCTATTAGGATTTAAGAAATAAAACCTAAATTTCAGGCCTAGCATATTTGACAGCGTCCCTTTAAAGCTAGGGAAACTTCAGTCTCCAAAAACCAATACCTCAACCTTTAGGAATTGAAATACCTGGGACTTAGCAGTTTGATTGTCAGGCCACAACCAACTAAATGGGGTGCTGGCCGGGAAGTCAATGCAGTACAATGCATTTTAATGACTAGATACTACATTAGCAGCACACCTAATCCAAGTAAGAGTCAGATTAGTGTTGTCAGACAGTCCAGCCTCACTAGATATCAGGTGAATTGGTACTTGATAAATTTACCATTGTGTGGGCCTCTGTTAACTTCAAGCCATTTCCCTGCTCTGAGTTAATGGCTCCCAAACAAGGTGATATCTTTATAATGTGTCTGAAATTGTAATGCTTTGCACATTGCTAACTTTTTAAAGCTATTCATGAGGGAAGAATAAATATCCTCCAATAAAATGTCTGGGATTAAAATTCAGAGAAATTACCTAATTTGTATATTATCTTACACCAAGGGGAGCCAAGCAAAATTTCTAATGTACAACAGAAGGTCAATCATCATATACATCATAGGGAACAAAACCTTTTATTGTAGAAGAATTCTACAGAGATAATAAAAGCTGCTCAGTTTTGTGAATTACACTAGCTTCTCGGTACCAAGAGCCAAAATTCTTGATCCAGGGTGCTAGTGGTTGAGGGTTTAGGCAATATAACTGCCAAATGCTCAAAACAGAACAAAAACAGCTATTCATGGGAGGGGTTTATTCTCCAAGGCAATTCTCCTGTCTGTTACCAGTCTATCATTAATTCCAAACACAGGTTTGAAATAATAATAATTAAAAAAAAAAAAAAAAGGGACAATATATACATTAGTGAAACCTGTTTGAAATGAGCTTTTTGCCCCCTTAAGGCTACAGAAAAATTAGCCAAACAAATGATCTTTAGCCCATAAATAGTGAAACTACCCCAGTGGTAATGGTCAAGTGATCATATGATCTCCAGAAGAGGGCCCATTTCAAGTCCACATAAAGTCACATTTATTTAGATTCCATGCATGTGCTTTCTGATGAGGCTGTAGGCTCAGGATCCAACTTCTCTGGGAATTCTAGCTTCTCACAAACAGTCTCCTTTACAGGTAAATACTGAGAGATCTCATTAGGCTCCGTGAACAGGGAGGGTGGAACATGCTAAGGAGCAAATATTTTAGTTAGAAATAAATCAAGAGACAAAGGAAGATTTTCAAAGCAAAGTTTAAAGGGAACCAGTCAACTTAAACTCCCACCTGTATGAAATATTCACTGACTACAGTTAAAACACACAAGATCAGACAGCTATTCATTCAATGTACTTTATGGATTTAACTGCATGTTGTGTACACTCAGTTTTCCTTCTCTGTGTGAGTCTTTCAGAACAAAAACATTTAATAGAAAAATATAACCGTAAGACCAGAAAAACTGGCAGGGACAGTCAGGGGCAAGTGTGGGGTATTCAAAACTACATTTCACTTTTTTAACTGATTGTATTTTTAAATTGAATTTCTGCTCCAAAGAGTGGCTGAGAATGGTATTGTGGAGTCCCATGTTTAATGTCTCCCAATGACTCCAACATCTTCAATGGAGTAGCTCAGGTGTAACAGACTAGCACATCAACAATTCTGTTGATAATGTCAATGCACTTCCTCTTAGCTCTGAAGAGCCCAATACAGCTACCAGTAAAAGTTTTAGACACTGAAGTCAGCAGATAGAATTCTGAATACACACAGGGAATCAATCTGTTCAGTAAATGAAACTACCAAAAAACTCTGCATTTTCAGAGCAGAAATGCACTAATTCTAAGCGTTTAGAAGTATTTCATTCAAGCATCTTAAATTAAAACCAGACAATTCAATGAAAGAGGCATTTTACAAACTCTCTCTTCTCTATAGGTGCTTCCAGAGACTAAACTGCCTTATTACTTACAGACGTTTGGAGAGTTATTCTGAGAACACTGACTTCAAGCCTTATAAAGTAACTTCATCTAGAAGATTACTCAAAAGTTGCGGGAATGCAGCCCACACTGCAACCTGTAAGGCTTTTAGCAAAGCACAGTGCTGTTGAATTTTGAAACTGGCTCTTAATGTAACATGCTGGGGTTCATACTACTTTCTCTGAATGATTTTTAGATCTGATGTTCCCAATTTACAAGTCAAAAGCTGATTTTTTTTCGAACAGGTAGCTTTGCAAACTCAACTAGGGAAATCCATTTGTGCTCTGTCCCTTTATCATAACCAGCAATAAAGATTATGTAGCTTAGATGATCATTTTGAAGCATGTGGCAGAACAGCATCCAGCTCACTCTGCTAGCTATGTGGACTCTACAACACAAACTTAGATTCTGTCACTAAACAGATTTAATTCAGATATGCAGGGATCATATACCATATGCTGAATAAAAAAAGGGTCATTCTTATAGCATAATCCCTTACTTTTACGGATATCCAATGTTTTACAAACAAAGCCCCAGAAGTTAGTGCAGCATTAGCCTCATTTTACAGATGGGGAAAATGAGGCCGAGAGACATTAAGTGATTTGTCCTAGGTCACACAGTGAGTCAGTGGTGGAGTCAAGAATAGAACTCAGTAGTCCCGACTCTTAGTTCCTACCTCTAACAACTAGGTCTTGCAGCTCTCTCTAAACGCTTATACTATTGTACAAATGCACTTTAGTAGCATAAAATTGAAAGGCCTATGGTCTTAAAGGCCAATTATAGCATTTGCATCAGCCAGTCTGCATCAGTCTATGCTAGTAAATAGACCTCAAATATTGCTAGCAGTGTAGGCAACCACTAGCCTGCAGAATTAATTGCCACAGGAGATCAAGAGGTCTTAAATTGTGGATGAATAATTCTACCAATAGCCTAACATTTATAACTATTCAAACAAAGATGAAGAGTAATCTAGTACCATGTGTCACCTTATGCACTGAATATCGACAAGGGCCAAGAATCAATCTTCCTCCAAATAGCATTGCACAATGGTCAGGAGTTTTGCCTCTCTTCAGGTCCAGGCTAAACAAACAGAGCTCTGACCTGATATGGCACTTTCTACACTAGACAGAAGACACTGAAGCTAGTATACATGGAAAACATGTTTAAAATGCATTACCGTTAAGCTTGAAATTTTGCTTTCTTTAGATGTGTATTCCCGTATCATGTAGGGCTTGTCAGCCTAATAAGAGAGAAAACAGGCAAAACAGTTACAAAACATATATTCTCTAGTATTCCATGAACTGAACTTTGTAAATAAACAATTTGAATACATCTGGATTTTGTTGGCTAAAGATTTTTCAGTGTAGAGACTAGGATTTAAGTTTACTGTGGGGAAAAAAATGAAGTTTAGCAATTTCAATCTAGCTCCTAGCAGTCATTTATCTGCAAAACAAGAACTATGATTTAATATATTTGTTAATCTTTGCTCAGGTGAAGCCCAATTATTGGCATCATCAATGGCATTGAAGGGAGGAACAAACAATACATCATGTTCATCCCAGAAGTGCCCTGATCTCGTTTCATGGGATTCTTGGGCTCAAGTGCAATCTTAGGAGTTTCTTGCACCTTGGTCTGGCAACAGCATCACAAAAATTGCACTCTCCAGAAGTCAGCCATAGAGCAACAAGGCAACAGGATATTTTTCAACAACAGAGACAGGGAAGAAGCAGCAGAATATGGAAGCCCACTTTTAAATACTGAGGAAGGGGTCAAATTTAGATGCCTCAGGTGCCTCCCCATCGCAAATTCCCTTCTCCTCCAAATGCATGGTTACAGGTCTGAGGAGCTGTATGGCTTGAGAAGCAGAAAATTCAGACTTCAAGGCAATTTCTCAATTTGGAGCTACAGTACAGTGGATTTTGACTTCCACAGAAGGCTGTCTTTTATTCCAAAATGATCTGCCTGCCATGGAGCCAGTCACTATGTGCATGTGACTCAAATGGCTGCACAAAATAATGCTGAATTATGTCCTGTACAGAGCAGTACACATATAACCAATACCCTTTGCAGCAACAGCTAGCCAGTCCCGGTAGTCATATAGCTTTCTACCTGGTTTAACAGAGTAGTAAAGGAAAGAGACCTCTAAAGCACGTACTATCCAAGCATCTCAAAGTGCTTTACAGACAGTAATAAAGATTCCATATCATTTATTCGGTAAGTTATCCACATTTTAGAGATGGGAAACTAAAACAGAGGAAAACCAACTTCCCCAAAATCATAGCATGAGTCAGAGAGAGAACTAGGAATTCTGACTCAGTTCTATAATCAGATATGTAAATGCTGCTGGGAGCCACAACAAGCCAACAGGAGATGCCTAGAAGTTGGGAGCAATTAGCATAGAGAACAAGATCATATTATTCACTTTGTATGTTCTATTGCTTTCCCTTACCCTTTGTCTGTCTTGTCTGTTTAGACTGTAAGCTCTTCAGGTCAAGGACTGTCTGCTACTCTGTGTTTGTACAGTGCCTAGCACAATGGGGCTCCATTCTTAGTGGGTCGTTGGGCATTACCATAATAAACATACATAAAATAATAAATTCGAAGTTCAGTTCAGCTAGCCTCTACTTTCCCTAACCCAACATCAGCCAACATTGCTGTGACTTCTGCAATTCTTCGGACAGAAAGTAACACAAGAGAAACAAGGTGGGTGAGGTGATATCTTTCATCATATCAACTTCTGTTGGTGAGAGAGAGAGAAGCATTTAAGCTCACATAGAGCTCTTCTGCAGGTCTGGGAAACTTACTCATTTTAGCTGTAACACTCTGAATTAGTTTTCCAGGCCTGCAGAAGAGCTCTGTGTAAGCTCAAAAGCTTGTCTCTCTCACCAAGATAAGTTGGTCCAATAAAAGATATTACCTCACCCACTTGGTCTCTCTAATATCCTGGGACGGACACTGATACAACACCACTGCATACAACGACAGTAACACTGTACGGGCCATATTCTGCCAAGTGGAACATGAAACAGACATCAGGGATATTAAGTGTTTACCTCATGGTAAAGTCTTGTATCATTCATCCTGATAAGTACACCATCAACTCGCAAGAAAAACCTCAACAACACAAAGAAGCTGGAAGGCATTACTCTCTGCAAAATACCAAGATGTTTAATTTAACACATTATGACATTTTACTGTAAAATACGCAGCTATTTAGCCAAGAAGTTCAGAACCACTAGTGCTAGTAGCACTTGGACTGTTCCAAGCCATGGTCTTGTGAAAAGTACAAGTTCCACTGGAGCTGCACAACTGAATAGGAGGCAGTGATCTTTAAATGGTGCAGTCAAGGTCTGTGCCTGATGATCTGCTATAGCTGCCTCAAAAGATCTGAGAAAATACCAATGTACAATATCATTCAACAGATTGTTACATAACATTTATAATGATCCTGCCCTGCCTAGTGCAGTGACAGGGGAAAAGACTGTTCCTTGTAACCTCGGATACCAATATCCTTTTCTTCTACAAGATTATGTTTTTAGAATGAAATACAAAAAACCTTACATTTTAAATATATTGGCCAGTTGGGGCATTAAATGTCTCCTAAACAGACATAACTCCTCGATATTATGATCCAGGCCATCACGTAAGACAGGCCTCACCCCCAATGGTAATTCAACACTGCAGTTGCAAGCGTGCTTCCCAGCAGTAGAGAGACATGCACTAGCTCGGTTTATATTAGCATGCTAAAAATAGCAGTGTGGCCGCAGTGACATGGACAGCAGTTTGAGCTAGCCACACAAGTACAGTCACACCCAGCCCTCTGGGTATGTACTCTAGTGGCTAGCCCAAGCCACTGCCCATGCTGCCATCGCCATACTGTTGTTTTTAGCGGGCAAGTGTGTCTCTCTCTACCCAGGCTGGGAAGCACACCACCAACTGCAGTATAGACACACCCCTCGAACCCAGGCAATGGGGACAGATCCTGTCCTATTTATTTAAGGGGCTCCCAGGATTTTGTAACAAAAGAATGAACACTAGGATGTTGATAGTAATAACAGGTTTTAAAATTTTTATTAAAGTTAATGTTTAAAATTAAATATACACAAGTTAAGAGGGAAGGTACTGTACATCTGGGGTCAGGCTTGATTTATGAGGGATTACAGGTATCGGTTGCAAGGGTGAAGAGATACATACATGTCACATAACCAGCATAGACCCAGATGGGGGTGCAAGAGTTTTTAAAGTGTCAGTGGATAAGTGGGCTCGGGTACACCAAGTCAGCAGCAAATGAGTACGTGGCTGGGGTGCATCCCTTGGCTCGTCAGGGAAGGAAGTGGGCTGTTTCAACACGCTTCTACAGCATTCACAAAGTGCTTTACAAATTTCAGCCAATTAATCCTCAACTCCCCTTGTGAACCAGGTGAGAAACTGCAGAAGCAAGCTGTTATTATAGAGGGACAGAGTCACGGTAAATCCCCTTTACAAATGTTCCCTACCTGTAACACTAAAACCACCTTGATTATTTACACTGAAGGAATTTTTAAATTTTAGTTTATTGCACTATTACCACTTTGGACCCAAACAGCTTGTGAAAGTTCAGGGACCTGTGGGTTGTTCCCGTTGGGAGAAAACACTCATGATGGAGTCTGGTATTTTTGTTTATTTACAAAGAATGTACAAAGTCCTGTTTCTTCAAATGCAGGAGGAACAAAAAAAACAAAACAAAAAAACCCCACAAAAACAAAAAAGGAGACTGTTTCTTTGCTCACAAAACCAAACTTTCAGCCAGTACTCTGACCCAAAACCTCTCCTCTCAGCATGTCGCAGGGCCACAGCAGGCTATGTCTGCTCACCACTCTCTCTCTCTCTCTTCGGAGAGTATAATCAGAGCCTGCAGTGCTGCACGCTCGCTCGCAGCGCTGCAAGTTACTCCCCTCGGAAAGGTGGAGTACATACAGCGCTGCGAGAGCTCTCTCGCAGCGCTGGTGGCACGACTACACTTACGCTTCACAGCGCTGCCGTGGCAGCGCTGTGAATTCCCGAGTGTAGCCAAGGTCTTAGTTAAAAAAAACCTCCACCAAAGTCTTTAGAACGCCTGTGTGACCTTGGGTGTGCCTTTGTCTTGGAGGCCACAATTGTCTTACATTTAACCTGAAAGAAGGCCTGCTGTTCAACTCATCAATTTAATGGGTTTTAACTAAACCTATAACAATACATTAGGTCTGCTTTTTACTTTACTTTAACTTCAACTCAAGAGAAGATTTTTTTGGGGGGGGAGGGGGGCGAGAGAGAATACGTACATAGGAAGTGATTAAACTCACTATTTTTACACTCAGACTTGAAACACCATGATCATGAAGCTCATCTTCAAACAGCAGAACTTCTTCAAAAAACATAATCTGTTCCCGGGCTTTCAATTTCTCTGTATCGATGTGATCAGTTGTAGGAACAACCTAGGAAAATTAAGTTTAAGAATAGTTAGCATAATTTGGCAGTGTTGTTGTAGCAGTGTCGGTCCCAGGATATTAGCGAGACAAGGTGGGTGAGGTAATTACTTTTACTGGACCAAATAATTTTACTGGACCAATTTCTCTTGGTGAGAGAGACAAGTTTTCAAGCTTACACAGAGCTCTTCTTCTCACCAACAGAAGTTGTTCTAATAAAAGATATTACCTCAGCCACCTTGTCTCGCTAACATAATTTGGCATAAGATATCCGCAGACTATGTCTTCTGCTGAAAACCCTGGACTCTGCAACTCCCTGTTTTAATACAGCCTTACTTCTGTGGTGCTCAGCCAAAGGTCTCTGAGCTTCTCATAGAAAAAAATTGCTAAAAGCTAAAAATTCCAAAGGGAACATGGCCAAACAAGACAAGAAACCCAAAGTTTGGGATTTCCCATGAGCTGTCATCTTGCAGATTGGGGCAGGCTGAGTATGGGTTTTGCTAAATTTCACTTGAAAAAAAAAAGTAGCTGCAAACAGTTTTGACTGAGTTCTAGATTTCAAACAGTCAGGGAAGTACTGAGTGTATTGTGATGCTGGCCGGCCAGGTGCCAGCTCTTGCCAAGACTGCAGGCATTAGCTAAGAACTGACAAACTCATAGCTGGAGACCAGACCAGCTCATTTATGTGTTAGTGTTGCTCAAAATAGGTATTAGTCTTATAAGAATGTATTTAGTGTTTAGATTCTATAGATTGTTTGTAAGTTACTGCATGAATTCATCATATTTGTAATGTCTGCATTCCAAGCTATCAGGAAATATGTAAGTTTTGCTTTATAACTTTGAAAATGTTTGCTCTAATCTTGTGAACTCAGATGGGAAGAGTGATCCCCCCAGCCTGTCCAGAAGAACTATCAAAATCAGATGGGCCATCAAGGAACATCGCAATACAAAGGACTGGTGAATGGCCCTATCACATCTTGGAAATGCCATATGCAAGGAAGGTCATTCAATGGACTTGCAGGCCAAACGAAGGAAATAAAACAAAGGCCAGGTGTACACTACAGACCTATAATGGTATAGCTTTAGCAATCCAAACCCCTGAGCGATGCAGTGATACGGACCCAACCCCCCATGTAGATGGCACTATGTTGGTGGGAGAGCTTCTCCCACTGACACAGCTACTGTCTCTCAGGAAGTAACTATGCCAATGGGCAAAGCTCTCCTGTCGATGCAGTAGCGTCTTCACTAAAGCGCTGCAGCTGCGCCGCTGTAGCACTTATACATGAAGTTAAGCCCAAAGACACATGAAAACTTTCCATCTCTTTGCTGTTTGAACTCTCACAAGGTCAGAGACTCTAAACTGAAGCCAGAGATCACCAGGGGTTACCTCTGGATCTGCCCTGAAAGACATTTTGAACCAGGGCTTTGGAGCTGTGCTCCGGCTCTGCTCCAGTTCCAGGCAAAAACCTGCAGCTCCACTGCTCCGCGCTCTAGCTCCGGGCTCCACTCCAAAGCCCTGTTTTGAATTAACAGATCACAACTCTGTCACTCTTGGGATTTTTATTGCAACTCATTTGTGCATATATGTTTCCTTGCTTTAACCTGTAACTAACTAATTTTAAAAAAACTTTTAGATAGTTTTTACAGGATTGGCTACATGCATTGTCTTTGGTGTAAGATCTAGGGTACTAATCCATCTGCGGTAAATGACTGGCCTCTTGGGACTGAAAGCAATCTGAATATTTTGTGATTTTTGGTGTAAATGACCATTTATCATTAAGTCCAGCTTGCCTGGATGGCAAGATAGACTGAAGAGTCCAAGGGGATTGTCTGTGACTCCATTGTAAGACTGGTATAGTGATCCAGGAGTTCATATTTGTCACTGGCTTGGTGAAACCTATTTATAAAACACACCACCATTTTAGGATATGTGTCCTGTTTTTGTCAGTCTGCCCTGAGGTTGGCAGTCATAATCGTGAGCCAGACCAGACATATATTAATAGATATTTCTGAATAGTATTTTGGTTATAAATATTGTAAGCTTCTATAATTTATATGGAACACCAAGATCTTTTATAGACAGATAATAAAAAATGCTTCTCCTCCTTAACTGCACAGAAAACTTGGGTATCTTTCTCACTTCCCAGGACCTCTCATTCTATAAACACGCTCAAAGCTATCATTCTTACCCTCTCTGAAAAGGTACCGGCTAAGTGCCATTTGGCCAACAAGAGAAGTTTTATATTTATATAGCACAATTCATTCCAAAGGGACCCAAGAGCTTGGGGGTTTTTAAATAACTATAGTAATGCTAGGGGATTAACTAGAATTTATCTGCCTAGTAGAGGTAGGGGGTTGAGGATTTTTTTTTTTTTTTAATTGCTAATATCAAGCAGATGCACTGGATATTTCAGGGCTACTTTAAAATGGTTACTTACGATTGGGAGAGGTTGTCACAAATGAGTTATTACTGTATGTAAACACAGCACCACTGATTAACAGCCAAATCTGGAGTACAGCATCACAGCCAACTGGCACGCTGCATGCTTAGGGTACCACAGAATTACAGGAGACCTTCAGTCCTCATGTATCTGGGGAGTTCAGGACTTCAGTGGCAACCCAATAAGCATCAAGAACCCACACACACAGCCTTATATTCCAAATACAAGGGACTTTGGGGGTATTTTTATATATAATTCAGAAATTTTAAAAAAACCTCAACATTAAATTACTCAAAGTGAACTGTGATTTGCTTAAAAAAAAAAAAAAAAAAAAAAATACGGAAGACTCCATAAACCCCAATTATACTTTGAAAGCAGATCTCTTCAAAACTATGCAACCTTATTTTGGAAGGCGTGCTTTGTTTTTCAATAAGTCTATACACAATGTGATGCAATGAGCATTTAATGAAAAAAGACTCACTTTTAACTTTACAGTATCTCCTAATAGTGTTCCTTTGTAGTCTGTCGTATAGGTCCAATCATATGGTTTAACGACTTCTTTCGTGTGTTCAGCCTCAGTCCTCAATAAAGGAAGAGAAAACACCACACTTTGTAATAAGTGATTAACATTACAATACCACATACAAGAGACATATACCCTGGTCCCAACACTGATGTCCTTAAACAGCCAAAACTTCCTGGAAATAGCGGTTTTGCCTGTGCAAAGACTCTAGTGTCAGGCCACATCTATACAGTACTGCTTCTCATTGACAATATCCATGTTTATCTAGTAATTTTTTATGACCATTCCAAGCATCAACTCCCATAGCATAAGTGCTTCGTTCATATGATTTTAGACAGAAGTCTTTAGTTTAATGTTGTCAAGTGTTGTACAGTTTAAGTTTGCCTGCTCAACCCAAGGATTCTGCTGGCAGAATGTATCTGATATTAAACCGATACTCCACTTCATCTTAGGCATTCGGACAGTTTTGATGCTTCTGTGCCTCGCTTCATATACTGCCAGCATCACTGCTAACAACCTGATAAATATACAGTAGAATTCTGTATCAAGACTAAATGCACTACAAAAAGGAACCTCCAGTAGCAACATTTTGTACTTGCCCTTTGACATCTTAAGGTGAAAGGTGCTATGCATGATCTTGCAACATTCAAATCACAACAGGAATTTTTCTATTGACTAAAATGGAAGCAGAATCAAACCCAAGTCCTTTACAAGTGTTAAGTAAACCACAATACTCCTGAGAAGCAGGCAGATATAACTATCCCAGTTTTGCGGATGGGGAGACTGAAGCACAGAAAGCTTAAGTGACTTTCAAGACCACACAGTAAGTGACAGAGCCTTGGCTGCCAGTCTCCTGTATTAGCCACCACATAAAACTCCACCTCCCATCACATTAGTGCTCACCCTGGTATTGTGGTAATACTGCAGTGCTCACCTGCTCTCTTGCCATTCCTCTGCACAGGCCACTTTAATCATACCTTGATAGTTATTTACACATTTTAAAGCATCTGTTGCATTGAACTCAATTCCAAAGCCATAATCATGCTGAATTCTTAGGATGTTGTCTCCAAACATCATTTCTGGGAGGGAAGGCATGTGCAATTCATCAGCTAATCTGCATGCGGACAAAGAGGTTAAATCAATAAGGTTGCAATCTACATTTGCAAGACTTTGTAACTGTGCCCACAAGCATAGTTTAATTTGAATGATCATTTTCCCTTCACACTACAAAATATTCCAATAGTCTCCTCTCTTCCTCAACAGTGTCAGAAGATCTCTTAAACATGGAGAAGTTCAGAGGTAGACAGCTGTGGCTAGTCTACTCTAGAAAATTTGATCGGCCTAATTAGATCATCACCCCTGAGCAACGTATTTAAGCTGATCTAAGTCCCTGTGTAGACAGTGCTAGATCAACGGAAGAATTCTTCCATCGACATCACTACCGCCTTTCAGTTTTACTACAGTGGCTGGAGAACCCCTCCTGTCACCTTAATAAGTGTCTACATTGAAGCGCTCAACTGTGCCGCTGAAGCATTTTAAGTGTAGACATAGCCTTACTACTACTTACCACAAAGTATTACTTTAGAGCAAGATAAAGATGCACAGTCTGCCCATTTAAAAATATAGCTTCAGTTGAAGAAACGAATGGCTCAGAGGATCAGTACAGTGAGAGGCAACCTTTCACCTTTAGGTTGGCAGTTCTAAACCTGCTCTGATTGGTAATTGATGGAAGTTTTCATTATCTAGCAGGTATTCGGTTATCTATGAGGAGTTAATCTCTCAATGAGAGAAAAATAAGCATCTACATTGCAAACAATTGGCACTCTTTTGGGGTAGTCTCAGCAGACATGCCAAAGACTGAGTGGGAAATATAGACTAAAATTAGATTCTCTCCCCTACTAGTGGCCAATGTACCATGAGGAACATTGGCACTAATCTAAGTCCCTGTGTAGACAGTGCTAGATCAACAGAAGAATTCTTCCATCGACATCATTACGGCCTTTCAGCTTTACTACAGTGGCTGGAGAACCCCAACTGTCACTTAGTAAGTGTCTACATTGAAGCGCTCAAGCTGACAAGCTACTATCATCTCTGGTGAATCTGCTCTGCAGACAAAAGGATTAGAAAGACAGGAATCCATCTCTCTCTCTCTTCTGTAATTGTAATCATTGTGCAGAGCTATCAGGTGAAAAATGCAGTAAAAGTTATTTTAGTCACTAAAGCAAGCAGCTATAACTTAAGACACATCAGGAGCAGATAGAATGAGCAAGGTGCCATTTTTGCAGTCACTTTTCAGAGTAGAAGTGCATTGCATTTGTACAGTGCCCTGCACAATGGGTTCCGGCTTTAGTACCTAAGAGCCCTAGTCATATGATAAATAGTGTTCAAACCTTATGATTTCATCTGCCTGCATTTGCTATACACTTTGCTACAAAATGCAATTAAATAAGATAATCCATTCAGGACTTCACAAAAAAAAAAAAAAAACATTTTTCAATATGACACAGTCTTATATAAAAGAGCTTTTTAAGAAATGAGTTTATGACAAACAAATGAATCACACAAAAATAAATGCAACACAAACTGAAAGTCACATATTGGCAAGAGACTGAAGAGCTGAAGTAAGTCTGACAGATTTAATTTACCATAGATCCAGAGATATCAAACTATCAAAGACGGTTGCTGCTAAACAAGCTCAGACTTTACTTTTAGTATCTGAAATATTTATATTTACTTTAATGTTCGGGTTTCAAACAAACTTTAGTCAGGTCTGAAGGAAGCAGTTTCCCCCATCGCTTTATAGAAACAGAAATTGTTGCCACATGTGAACAGGTGAGTGGTCCATTTATAAGAAAACCTGAGTTGAGGAGTCCACAAGAGTCCTGAATACCTTAGGAAGAGGAAAGCAAAAACATCCCTGCCTCTCAAACCAAAAGATGTTCCACAGTATCACACAAAGGATGCAAAAGAAACTCTTGATCCCACCAGATGGCCGTTTGGGACTTACATTTATTGGGGTTTTTTGTTTTTAATAGTAGTTCTTTCTGCAGTGCATCTTTAGATTACCTTAGCAGAAACTCAACTCTTGCTCAGGAATGATATGCCTACACCGCATTGCAAACCCAGGTCTGTAGGACCCATGCTTGGGGACTCAGGCTATGTCTACATTAGCACTTTTGTCAGTCAGTGGTGTAAAAAAACAAACAAAATCCACACCGATGACTGACGTAAGTTTCACCAACAAAAGCGCCAGCGTGGACAGCACTATGTCCTCAGGAGACGCTCTGCCCCCGACATAGCTACCGCCCCTGTTGGGAGTGGTATAATTATGCCAACGGGAGAGCTCTCTCCCTGTGTGTGGACAGCAGAGGGATTTGGGCTCAAACCAGAGCCTGAGCCCAGGTTTACAACGCGGATCTGTCAGAGTCGCTCCCCAGCCCGACCGGAGCCGCTGAGCGGGCACAGGCAGCCCCCGGCCACCATCCAGGGAGGACCCGATCAGTGAAACCCGAGCCTGGTCTGTAACCCCCGCCCGCCGCCCATCCATGCGGCCTGGAAACGGAGTCACCGGCCACGACCCCCCGCCCCGCGACCCCACCTCTCGGCCTGGGCCGATTTCATGATGTGGGTCCGGGCGGCGTTGAGTCTCCAGGGCCCGAAGGTGAAGTCGCGGCTGGTGCTTTGGAACACGGGGTACATGGCGGGGCCGGGGAGGGGCTGGGAAGGGGAAGCGGCGGGAGGAGGCGAAGGAAAAGGTGGTTGCCGGTCTCCCCCGCAGTAACAGCACCAGCGCCGCCGGAACCGGAACTGGAATCCACCCCATACACTTCCGCTTCCGGAATCACTCACCTGGGCGCGCGCCAGAAAGAATCCGGCATCGTGACGAGAGGCTCGCGCCGCGGACGGAGAGAGGGAGATGGGAGCGGGCAACATGATAAAGAGGCGGGGAGAGGGCAGGGTCACGTGACAAAGGCCCAGTGAAGCCGGGGCCCTACATCTGCCAGCGGCCTGGCCGCGCGCTGGGAGTCTCTGCTGCTGGGAGGGGAGGCGCCGCGCTAGCGGGGGGTGTAAGGCTCCGTGGTACCAACCCACAGAGCAGAGGTGCGGGGGGTCGCTCCGCGAGGGAGACGACCCGTCCCATCTCCCTCCCCTCCGGGGGCGGCTCCGGTCCTGGGGGGCTGGGTCCTGCTCTGGGCGTTGCGACCTGGCCCAGGTGTCCGCAGTTCTGCTCCTGGTTGGCAAATCCTTCCCTCCCTGGGGACTGCAACGCTTCCTGGGGTCCCCAAGTAGGGTGACCAGACAGCAAGTGTGAAAAATCAGGACAGGGGGTGGGGAGTAATAGGAGCCCATATAAAAAAAAGCCCCAAATATCAGGACTGTCCCTATAAAATTGGGCCATCTGGTCACCTTATCCCCAAGGCTGAGGCACCTCGCTACCACCTGCCCTTAGTGTTGTCTACACCTGCTGGCAGGGGTCAGCTCCCCATCTCCATGGGCACTGCAGGCACTTCAGCCCTCCAGCCTCCCCCTGGACAGACTAGTCCCTGTTCTGCTGGACACCCAGAATTCATAGATCTGCTTCACCCAAAGAAGCAACACACCCTAGCTTACCAGTTCCACTTCAGATACCCGCTCTGTTTAACACATGACACTTATCTGTTTGTTGTGAAAACAAGTGTAGACAGAGTTTCCAGAAGTAGCAAGTCAAAGTATCGGAAATTAATGGTTACATGTAAAATAAATTTATAAGCAGGGATCCTAGTTTTCTATGGTAAAAAAACCCAAAATTTTCTGATTTTAAAAAGAAATCCATGTTTTTCTGTGATTAAAATGAAATGCAGAACTTTAGTTTCCCTAGCCTCAATATATATAGGCATCGGTGAAACACAATGTTTTATTGATATATTTACAAATTTTAAGCAAGTTTGAAGCCTACCAGGGCCATCAATCACTATAATAAAATAAAAATAATAAATTGCAATTTGTATTTTTACATATACCAACTACTGTATTTCTATGTATTCTGTATTTTCAGAAAAAAAAATTTCTTTAATTCACAAAAAAGCTGGAATGATCCAGTCACAGTGCATTGTTTCTTTACTGTTGTTGATGGCCTTGCTGTTTCAGCCTCTTGTTTTCATTTCTTTTCATTCAGTTTATGATTAGCGCTTTCCATGTGTTCTACAACTGTCTGCCTTCAAACGTAATCTACAGCCTTGCTGCATACAGTACAGAAAAGCACATTACCATCAACGTGAAATTTGTCCTTGCCAAACTCAGTGACACCGTCTTTCAGGATGATTTTTAAAGTTTAATGCATCTTTTCTTAACTTTAATTACTCACATCTGGAGGTTGAAGTGAAAATTGAGAGGCATTAAAACACAAACCCCTATACTCCATTGAATAATCCTTACAAAAGTTTGTCTCCTTGGTGAAGGATCCAGGGTGTACCTCAGTACCCCCAGTTATACTCCCAAAATTCATTGTTTTATTCATAAACAAGATGACTCCCCTCGCTGTTTTTTTCCCCCTGCTGGTCTTCTCTCACATGAATTCACAATCTTCATTAGCATCAGGCTTAGTAATGCAACTAGTCACATTGTAAGGCATAAAATACACAATGATCAGCCAGAGACAGAAGTATTTATCTGCCTAAACAGAACTCATTTATCACTGTCTGGCAATCTGTCCTGTCCTAACTCACACCTTCAGAACATAGTTTTCAGTATAGATACATACCTTCTTAAATATTATGTGTACATACATCTTGCAATGATTAGGATGACCAATGTGATACTGGTTGTCAGTAGAGACTTCACATGCCACCTTTAGCACATTAGCAGACCCAGGGGATCCCTTAAACCCCTAAGTACTCCTTATGCCCTCTGGCAATTCACACCAAGGGGTCCCTGGGTCACAGAGACGGTGGGGCAGATACACCAAATCTGAGTGGCACTGTGACTACGTGTGCTAGGTTGCAATGCCAATCTAATTTGCCCCCTTTCCTCTCTGTCTATATCTGCAGAGGGGCAGACACACCAAACCTGAGTGGTGCTGCTGTGACAGGGGAGCAGTCTTCTGCAATATACTGGGTAAACTGTATTGAATTAAGTTTAATACTTTTGCGATCCATAGCATTAAAAATGCAATTGTTTATGTGTTATTGTAGGATTGTACAATAACTCCTCACTTAATGTTGTCCCGGTTAACATTGTTTTGTTGCTGATCTGTTAGGGAACAATCTTGTTTAAAGTTGCGCAATGCTCCCTTATAATGTCATTTGGCAGCTGCCTGCTTTGTCCACTGCTTGCAGGATTCTCTGGAAGAGTAGCTCCTCCGTGTGGGGGGGAGGGGGGGGGGGGGGGGGGGGTAAGGTATCCCCTGTAAGGTATGTGGCTCTGCAGCTGCCCAGCAGCACTTCAGCTGTCCCTCCCCCCACTGCCATCCTGCTCCTGCCCTGCCCTCTGCCTTGGAGCTGCTCCCTGGAGCTTCCTGCTTGCTGGGGGAGGAGGGGAAAGGGGTGCTGATATCAGGATACACCCCCCCCTCGCTCCATACCCCCTCTCCACAAAGCAGAGGAGGGGGACAGGGCTCAGGGACAGAAAGGAGGGAGCTTGCTGGAAGCTGTTGCTTCCTGTCTGAACTGGCTGATCTGCTTAAAAGGGCAACATACTTGAAGTGGGGTCAGCGTACTTAAAGGGGCAATGCACATCTCTCTCACTCATGCACGCACTCCGCAGCACTTTGGAAAGTCAGCACCAGTGCAGCCATCATGTGCTGTCAGGAGGAGGGAGTGGTGCGCTCCAGCTGGATAGTGTGGGCTCATCATCATGTTCAGTTTTTGCAGGGAAGTGTTTGCAGCTACTGCCCTGCATCTGTTGTGTTTCCTCCCTCCTGCCTCAGGCCAGGCTGCCTTGTAGAGTGTGAGGCTACATTAACAATAGCATATTAACCCTTGAGGGCTCAGCTGAGTGCTAGTTCATCATTTAACAGCAAGGCATTCCCTGGGAAATATTCCGCCCTCTTACTCCACCACCTCAACCAAGCTTCACAATCATCATTGCTGTGTACAATATTAAACTGTTTGTTTAAAATTGTTTAAAACTTATACTGTATATGTATATAATGTCTTTTGTCTGGCAAAAAAAATTTCCCTGGAACCTAGGCCCCCCCCCCCATTTACATTAATTCTTATGGGGAGATTGGAATCGCTTAACATTGTTTCACATAAAGTCACATTTTTCAGGAACATAACTACAACGTTAAGTGAGGAGTTACTGTATGGAACTCCTGTAGAGGAGATATGACTAACATAAACAATGGGGAAATTACATTACAAGCTTTCATAAAACACCTTACTTGACATATTTTATAGCACAATAACATTGTATACAGTCAGTTGATTCAACTGTTTTTCCCGCTTTCTTCTTCGGCGGGAATTCGGCAGCAGGTGCTTCCCTCCGAGAGGGACCCGCCGCCGAACACTCCGACGTGCCGCCCCTTCTCCTTGGCCGCCCCAAGCACCTGCTTGCTGGGCTGGTGCCTGGAGCCAGCCCTGGTGAGACAGGTGAAAGTGCACCTTGGGGAGAGGAGCAGTAGCCAAGTGCAAAGGGCTCCATTTGTTCTAAACTGTGGATCAGCTAATAGTTTCATGAGGCTGTAGTACAGGGGTGGGCAAACTTTTTGGCCTGAGGGCCACATTGGGGTTGCAAAACTGTCTGGAGGGCCGGGTAGCAAAGGCTGTGGCTCCACAAACAGCCTGGCCCCCGCCCCCATCCGCCCCCTGCCACTTCCCGCCTCCTGACTGCCCCCCTCAGAACCCTGACCCATCCAACCCCCGCCGCTCCTTGTCCCCTAACTGCCCCCTCCCAGGACCCCACCCCCATCCAACCCCCCTTCTCATAGTCCCCTGACTGCCCCCCCAACCCTTATCCACACCCCTGCCCCTTGACAGGCCCCCCAGGACCTCACGCCTATCCAACCCCCCCCTTCCCCGTCCTCTGACCACCCCCCCCAAACCTCTGCCCCTTATCCAACCCCATGGCCCCGGCCCCCTTACCATGCCGCTCAGAGCAGCATGTCTGGCAGCTGCGCCGTCTGGCCAGAGCCAGACACGCTGCTGCGCTGCTCTGCAGGAGTGCGCAACCCTGCGGTCCAGAGCGCTGCCCATGCGGCGGCGTGGCTGCAGGGGAGGGGGAATAGCAGGGGAGGGGCCGGGGGCTAGCCTCCCCGGCCAGGAGCTCAGGGGCCGGGCAGGACGGTCCTGCGAGTCGGATGTGGCCTGCGGGCCGTAGTTTGCCCACCTCTGCTGTAGTATGTAAAAGCAGCCTGCGGGGTTGCTGTAATTCAGTAGTTCTCAAACTTTTTGTACTGGCAACCCCTTTCATACAGCAAGACTCCTTTATGCTCATGTAGATACCCCCCCCACACACACACACTTAAAGTTACATATACCAATGTCTACAGGAGTCTAAATTAGTGTAATGGAATCTAAGTTACATATCACCTCTGAATTTGGACCTGTGAGTATGAAGTGGGGCAGGGAGAAAAGACTAGCAGAGAAGGTGAGAGGGTAGACAGAGGGTCAAAGGAATAGGAGGAAAGGGGTTGTGACAGATGGGGAGGTGGAAAGAAAAGAGACCTATCAGGAAAGAAAGTGAAAAGGGGGATGGCTGATTGGAGAAACATGGGGAGAGAATTGGAAACTGATAGAGGAGAGAAGGGAAGGTGGGAAAGAGAAGGGAGGGAAGAAAGAGGAATGGAGGAAGGAGGGTGTGGAAAACAGGATGTTGAGGAGAAGATCTGGAAAGGGGGATAGAACAGGAAGGGTATGGATAGAGGGGGTGGAAAAAGAAGGATGTGGAAAGGAGGCTGGATGGAAAAATGTGAAAGGGAAATGGATGGTGGAGATTAAGAGGAGGAGAGATGTGGAAAGGGGGATAGAAGGAGAAGTTTAGGAGGAGGGATGTGAAAGTGGACATAGAGGAACTAGGCTAGGCAGAGGAAGAATGTGGAAGGGGGACAGAGGAAGGAGGAAAGGGTGGGTGGAGGGAGGAAGAGGAATGTGTGGAAGGGGCATAGAGGGAGGAGGGGAGAAGGGATATGAACGGATGGAGAGAGGAGGAAAGGGGGAAGGAGGTTAGGAGGAGGAATGTGAAGGAGGATGGAGGGAGGAGAAAGGGGGATGGAGGGAGAAAGTTAGGGGGAGGGATGTAAAGGGGGTGGAGGGAGGAGGCTAGGAGGAGGGATGTGAGGGGGATGAAGGGATGTGAGGAAGGGGGATGGAGGGAGGAGGTTTGGAGGAGGGATGTGAGGGGAATGGAGGTAGGAGGAAAGGGGGATGGTGGAGGTTAGGAGGAGGGAGGAGGGTCGGGCAGTTGCTCCGGGCCTCTCTCTTGGCGGCGGCTGTGGGGGGTCCGGGGCGCTGTAACCCGAAACCTCCCGCCCCTGAGTGCAGCGAAGGCGGCGGGGGAAGGAGGAAGCGGCTCGGCTCGGCCCGGCGGTGAGTGTGTCCCACACCAAGGGTGGAGCGCTCCGGTTTTTTAACTGGAGCTTATGGCAGCTGCAGGGCGGGGAAGGGGGTGTGTGTCTGTGCCTCCATTGCGGGGCTCTCATGGCCCCGGTTGGGTTCTCGCTGCCCCCTGCTCCTGCGGCCTCTCCGACCCCACCCTTCCCCGGGACTTTGCCTCCCCACCAGCCTTTGTGTGCGGAGGAGGGACAAGCCCGTGCCGGGAGGGAGGCTGGATTTTAGGGCAGGGGAGCAGCCGAGCGCTGCATCTCTGATTGCAGAGCCGGGGCAGCCAGCCAGGGACTGCAGAGGGTTGCGGCGGGGGGGCGGGGGTCTCCTGCTTCTCGCGAGCCCTGCGAGCTACCCAGGTCCCGATCGGGGCCGCTGGGCCCGGGACAGGCTCTGCGATTTCCCTTGCCTCTGTGTCTCAGTGCGCCGCGGGCGGGCGCGGCTGGGGCTGGAGCGGAGCTCGCTGCAGCAGGCTCGGGCCACGCGGGACCTGCCCGCGCCTGGGCTGGGCTTGTGTCTCACTCGGACGCCAGGGGGCCAGAGCAGCAGGCGAAGGAAAGGAAAGAAGTGTTATTCCGATGGGACAATGGGCCGGTGCAACTCACAGCTACTCTGCCACCCCATGCCATTCTTCCCCGGATGATCGGCCTGCAGCAGGAGCTGCCAGTGCTCAGAGCTCCCCTGCTTCCCAGTTCCCTCGGCTCCCGGGGCCGGGCTCAGACCTATGGTGCAGGGTTACCTCAGCAGCCGCCCAGCTTTCCCACCTAGGCTCCGCTCCCCTGCCCTGCAGCATTACACAAGTTCCCCACTCCCCTTTGCTCCATAGAATCATAGAACTGGAAGGGATCTCCCCAGGTCATCTAGTCCAGTCCCCTGCACTCATGGCAGGACTAAGTATTCTCTAGACCATCCCTGACAGGTATTTGTCCAACCTGCCCTTAAAAATTTTCAATGATGGAGACTCCACAACCTCCCTGGGCAATTTATTCCAGTGCTTAGCTACCCTGACAATTAGGAAGTTTTTCCTAATGTCCAACCTAAACCTCCCTTGCTGCAATTTAAGCCCATTGCTTCTTGTCCTATCCTCAGAGGTTAAGAAAAACCATTTTTCTCCCTCCTCCTTGTAACAACCTTTTACATACTTGAAAACTGTTATCATGTCCCCTCTCAGTCTTCTCTATTCCAGACTAAACAAACCCAAATTTTTCCAATCTTCTCTCATAGGTCATGTTTTCTAGAACTTTAATCATTTTTGTTGCTCTTCTCTGGACTTTCTCCAATTTGTCCACATCCTTCCTGAAATGTGGTGCCCAGAACTGGACACAATACTCCAGTTGAGGCCTAATCAGCGTGGAGTAGAGCAGAAGAATTACTTCTCGGGTCTTGCTTACAACACTCCTGCTAATACATCCCAGAATTATGTTTGCTTTTTTTGCAACAGCATTACACTGTTGACTCATATTTAGCTTGTGGTCCACTATGACCCCCAGATCCCTTTCCACAGTACTCCTTCCTAGGCAGTCATTTCGCATTTTGTATGTATGCAACTGATTGTTCCTGCCTAAATGGAGTACTTTGCATTTGTCCTTATTGAATTTCATCCTATTTACTTCAGACCATTTCTCCAGTTTGTCCAGAGCATTTTGAATTTTAATCCTATCCTCCAAAGCACTTGCGACCCCTCCCAGCTTGGTATTGTCCACAAACTTTATAAGTGTACTCTGCATGCCATTATCTAAGTCATTGATGAAGATATTGAACAGAACCGGACCCAGAACTGATCCCTGCGGGACCCCACTTGTTATGTCCTTCCAGCATGACTGGGAACCACCGATAACTACTTTCTGGGAATGGTTTTCCAACCAGTTTTGCACCCACCTTATAGTAGCTCCATCTAGGTTGCATTTCCCTAGTTTGTTTATGAGACGAAGCCCCATCAGAAGCCCCTGCCTGAAGCATTAGAAGAATTTCTCTCCCCTGTGCTCCCTCACCCTCAGCCCCTTGCTGCAGTAGCAATAGTGTTCCCCTGGGATTTTCTTCCCAGTCCATGCTCTGGCTGCACAGGGGTGGAATAAGAGAAAATGTATTCTCTGCAGGGCCCTGCCTTGATGTTTTGCCCTTACCTGCATGCATCTCTATGCCTGCTCATTGGGACCTTTTCTACATTAGAGAAATTAGGGTGATAACCAGCATTTGGAGCCTCCCCTCCAGCACACCTGTAACATGCAGACCTTGCATCTGCACACACAGCTGCTACCCGTGGTGCACAGGCATTTGCTAAACACTTTGCATTATGCTTGCTCTGCCACACCTAACCACCTTGTCAACCTGCACCCCCCAAGCCAGTTGCCATCACTGCAGTGCCTGTGTGGATAGCAAGTGATGGCATATTAGCTCTAACAGTGCAAATAGTCCTCCAGCTACTGTCCCACAGTGTATCGGTTACTGCTTAGATGGCTGGTGCTCATGTTTCTGTTCTCTGTTGGTTGAGGGTCAAAGGAGGGATGCTTTTTTGCCTTTTGGATGTTTTAAAATTTGCAGGGAAGATTTGTACATGTGCCACAAAGAGGGCATGTGTCCAGGAATATGACTGCCAGTGGAATGGTGAGCACTGAGTGTTCCAAGTGCATTGTTTTAAACTAATTGATGGATCCTACCATAGATGGATCCTACCATGATGTTTAAAAAGCTTTTACAAATTAAAATTCTTCTGAATGTTTAATTTGTTAGTTAGATGTTCTTGTTACATTTAAAAGGATGGTTATTTTATTTCTCTGGGGTAATTTAGAACCAAACAAAATACACCTCTACCCCAATATAAAGCAACCCAATATAAAACGAATTCAGATATAACGCGGTAAAGCAGTGCTCCGGGGGAGGGAGGGGAGGAGGGGCTGCACACTCCGGTGGATCAAAGCAAGTTTGATATAACGCGGTTTCACCTACAACACGGTAAGATTTTTTGGCTCCCAAGGACAGCGTTATATCAGGGTAGAGGTGTAGTATATTTTTAAAAACAGTTTAGGGTTTTGTGGCATTTAAAACTAGTGAAAATGGATTTTTGTTAGGTTTTAAGCATCCTCCTACAGTGCTAGCAACTCAACCATTGCAGGATTGTGCTAGTGCTTAGCACCTGAAAGTGAAAATGACAATAAACAATAATTGTTGTATGCAGAGTAGTTATAGCTGTGTTGGTCGCAGGATATTAGAGAAACAAGGTGGGTTGTGTGTCTCGAAAGCTTGTCTCTCTCACCATCAAAAGTTGGTCCAATAAAAGATGTACCTCACCCACCTTGTCTTTGTAATAAACAAAAAATAAAGGATAAAATCCTTGTTTGTGGCAGACGAGTGCTCTGCACAGCTGAAGAGGAAGTGTGCAAAAATGACTTTAATCTACCACTGGACTGCTCAGATCCTGGACTTATTCTTCATCATTCTAGCACTCTGGCATAAATTAGCACTGCCTAAGAGCTGTTCTGATTTGTGCCAGCTGCCAAAAGCACAGAGACCCTTACAGCAGCTAGGGTTGCTGAGATGCCAGGACACTCCTGCTCAAACCACATCCATATCTCTGTGCCACCCAAGGATCCTCCTACATAGGAGAGATCCTTCCTGAGTAGCCAGGGAAGCTGGCTTTTGGCTGCTTTGTACCAATAGACCAATAGAGTTGTAGCCGAAAGCAGCGAGGCTCTTATGCAAAATGTTCATGGTCTGTGCCAAAGGAAATGTAAACAGTAAACAATGAGCTTCACTGGTGGTGAAAAGTAAATGCGATTTTAAAAATTCTTTTAATGTCAGTAAATTAAGGTTTTCTTAGGAACACATGGAAGGACATTTGTTTGGAAAAATATGATTTTTAGGCTGGCAGCGCCCCTTTAAACTCTAACCACCTCAGAGAGCTAGGACACTTTCTGGATATTCGTGCCCAGCTGGGAAGGGTAGATGGCCAGAGTCCCAGCCACAGCAACCCCTGCGAGTCACCATTCCCCAAGAAATGCTAACACCAAGTTTGCATGAATTTGAAGCCAATCTTTTTTGACATTCCCTTTTTATTTTTTCAAATCTTGGTCTGGATTTTGGGATTCAGTATGTGTGTGGCTTCACTGACAGAGCAGTGAGAGGGCTGCACATTAGGTTCATCCAATTCCCTTTCCAGGGCTGTGGAAAGAGAAAAATCTGCTCCGGTAGTGGGAACACCAATGCTCATGCCAGGGGGAAGGTGATTAAGCAGGAGTGACACTTTTGAGGCCAGCGGGTGGTGTCGGCAGCCTCGCGAGGCAGCCGGCTGTGGAAGTGCCACTAATCAGGCGCCCAGAGGAGTTGGGTGCAGGCCCACTGGAATGAAGGGTTAGTAGTCAGGAATACCTCTGCCGGAGACAATAAGGGGAGGTCACAGTGGCTCTCAGGGGAACCAGGAGCAATATTTCTGGGGCCTGACGGGGAGATGGTGTTGGTCACCTGGGAGAAGTGATAAAGCCTTAGGTCAAGGGCTCTCAAACATTTTCATACCGTGGATAAGATCTTAACAAAGGAATTGCCTCTTGGACACATTTCCCATTGACAGTCACACAGACTGTCCGGCTCACCTCCCCCGGCTGACTGGCAATACAAGAACATTCCTGTGGCAACTACAGTCATTGCAAAAGTGATATTAGGAGAGTATTTTACTGTATTTTAGGGGTTTTTTTTAATGTGATTTAGCAGCTGCAAAGGAGGACGAGCCAGTGCCATGTGACTAGCCAGCTCTCTGTGGATCACCAGCAAGTGCTCCACAGACCAGAGTAAAATACCACAAACTGTCAGCTGTATAAAGAGAGATCAACAAAGACCATTTATTGTTTCATTATTGTTTCTTTTCATAACAGCTTTTTGGCATAGATGACTGGGAGTTAGAACTCATGGGTAGGGCTGGTCAAAAGTTTGAAATAATGCCCCCCTTCCACTCCTGGAAAATATTAAATGAAATGTTTGCAGAATTTCTCCCCCGTTTTCCAATCAGCCCTGTTCTTGGGTTCTGTGTTTGGCTCTGCCATTAACTTGTGTGTGACCTCGGGAAAGTCAAGTCCCTGCTCTGGGCCTCAGTTTCCCTATCTAAAAATGGTTATGTGCCTCCTATGGGTGTTGTGAAGCTTGATTAATGTTGGTAAAGGGCCTTGAGATCCTGGGATAAAAGATATTGTAGACACGGAAAATACAATCATGTTTTCATGTGTTTTTCTTCTTGTTCCAGCTGCCCAGCATGTACTGTCTGCTCTGTCAATGTGCGCTCTGACAATGAGCATCAACTCCTCCCTCAGCAATGGGAAGGGCCTGAGAAACCTCACAGCGCAGGAAGACGGGGCAGTCAGAGTCACCGAGTCGATTGCTATTATTGTCATTGCTATTTTCATCTGCTTGGGCAACTTGGTGATTGTCATCACCCTCTATCGGAAGTCTTACCTCCTTACGCTGAGCAACAAGTTTGTGTTCAGTCTGACACTGTCCAACTTCCTTCTGTCTGTCCTGGTGCTTCCTTTTGTCGTCACCAGCTCCATCAGGCGGGAATGGATCTTTGGAGTAGTTTGGTGCAACTTTTCTGCCCTGCTCTATATGCTGATCAGCTCAGCCAGCATGCTAACTCTTGGTCTCATTGCTATAGATCGGTAAGCTCCTCTTTTTGTTATGAATAGCAATGATTAATTCCAAACTGGGCACAAACAAACAATATGTGTTTTAATACAGCTAAATGTAAATGTATTCATCTAGGAACAAAGAATCTAGGCCATGGGGGACTTGATCCTGGGAAGCAGTGACTCTGAAAAAGATCAGGAGTTGTGATGGAAAATCAGCTGAATTTGAGCTTCCAGGGCAACGCTGTGGCCAGAAGGGCTAGTGCAGGGTGGCCAACCTGTGGCTCCGCAGCCACATGCGGCTCTTCAGAAGTTAATATGTGGCTCCTTGTGTAGGCACCGACTCCAGGGCTGGAGCTACAGGCGCCAACTTTCCAATGTGCCAGGGGGTGCTCACTGCTCAACCCTTGGCTCTGCCACAGGCCCTGCCCCCACTCCACTCCTTCCTGCCCCCTCCCCTGAGCCTGCCGTGCCCTCGCTCGTCTCCCCTCCCTCCCAGAGCCTCCTGCATGCCATGAAACAGCTGATCGGGAGGGAGGGGGAGGTGCTGATCGGTGGGGCTGCTGGTGGGTGTGAGGCACTGGGAGCGGGGTGGGGGAGCTGATGTAAAATCGTGAAATAGAAAGGTAGAAAATAATTAAATTACTATTTCAAGATGCAGCACATGCATCTAAGATTGTTAAAATCAATTGATCTGTAATAACATAGCATTTGAGTAGCTGTATGTAATCATGTATAATTGTAAACATCATTACAATAATGCATTCACACCAGGATTAATTCTCTCTGAAGCATCTGGTATTGACCACTGTTGGAAGACAGGATACTGGGCTAGGTGGACCATTGGTCTGACCCAGTATGGCCACACTCATGTTTTTATAATCAGTAAGTAGAATTAAGGCTGCATATGCAGCTTGATCTTGGGCACTTCTTGACTTTTGAGCTCTTGACCGCAAATAATTTTTTGAAATATGATTTTTTTTAAGTGTCCCTCTGACCCCATTTGAGATTTGGGGAGCGGAAGTGGGGAAGTCTTTCCCTGGACTCCAATGGGAGTTGGATCTTAATCAGTAAACCCAGTTCTTTGCTTACTGTACTTTTCTATGATGGTACTGATGTCTCCTTTTGTGTTTCCCAGGTACTATGCTGTCTTATATCCAATGGTGTATCCAATGAAGATTACAGGAAACAGAGCAGTTGTAGCCCTTGTGTATGTGTGGTTACACTCCCTCATTGGCTGCCTTCCTCCTCTCTTTGGCTGGTCTTCCTTGGAGTTCGATCAATTCAAATGGATGTGTGTGGCTGCGTGGCATAAAGAGGCAGGCTACACAGCCTTTTGGCAGATCTGGTGTGCTTTGCTGCCCTTCCTGGTTATGATGATCTGCTACGGATTCATATTTCGTGTGGCTAGGATTAAAGCGCGCAAGATTCACTGTGGTAGCGTGGTCATTGTAGAGGAGGACGCTCAGAGGAATGGGAGAAAGAACTCTAGCACCTCCACCTCCTCTTCGGGCAGTCGAAGGAATGCTTTCCAAGGGGTTGTCTACTCAGCCAATCAGTGCAAAGCTTTCATAACCATCTTGGTTGTCATTGGTGCTTTTGTGATCACATGGGGGCCCTACATGGTAGTAATTACGTCAGAAGCACTTTGGGGGAAAAATAGCATTTCTCCTGCTCTGGAGACATTAGCAACATGGTTATCTTTTTCAAGTGCCATTTGCCATCCACTGATTTATGGACTCTGGAACAAAACAGTGCGCAAAGAACTATTAGGAATGTGTTTTGGGGACCGGTATTACCGGGAGTCATTTGTTCAGCGTCATAGGACAGCCAGATTATTCAGCATTTCCAATAGGATCACAGGTAACAAACACTTAGATAAAAAAATACTCTTCCCTTGAGGCTGATACTTAGTATCTGCATTCATGTGGCAACTTCCAAGGGCTGTACAAATACTAACTAGTGATGTGCTTGAGGGAGCTCTCAAGGGACCGTTTTTCAAATTATACCTCCCATCTGAAGGAAAGTTGTGATGAGTTCCCTGCCTTTGATGGGAATTCACCTCCCTTTCTGTCCCTGGCAGAGAAGATTTAACTCTGGGGCCAATAAAAATAATTTCCTTTCTCCTCTGTTGTGATCCCCCCCCCCCCCCCCACACACACACACTATTTCAAATTATCCAAATCTGAGCATTCTTATACTATCAATATACTCAGTGGGTCTGATTCTCCACTCCATTGCCTGTTTTTATGGTGGTGTAACTCTGTTGACTTCAGTGGAGTTACACTGGTGTAAACCCAGTGTCATAGAATGGAGAATCAGGCCCAGTATATTTTTCAGGAGCAAAGTATAAATGTTTAATATAAAAATGTTTGGCAAGTGGTATGGCCTTTCTCTTAGCTAAACTTGTCATTTTAGCTGGAGCTGTAACAATAGCTATAGGTAACATTCCTTCAAACTTCTCATTCTAAGACGATGTATTCAGTTGATTATAACATCCCAAACTTTTACCTATTGGGCTAAACTTTTCTAGGCCTGTGTAAGCCTGAGGTCAAAATATTTTGGAAAGTTAAAATGATTCTGTCTGTTTTTGAGAATGAGAGAGGGGGAAAAACACCACCTGCTGTATGAAAGGGCAATGCAAGCACAGTATGAAATTGACCAACCATGCAGGGGAAACTGACTAGACACAAAGTGCTGACAAATGCAAGGAGTGAACAAACAGAAACATATAAAGAAAATATTTTTTCTCTAATATCATTTGGTTACCATAATCTTAGGTGTTCCTTGTAACAATACCAGGTAAAACATGTCCAGACAGAAGTGGAAGTTTTAAATTAATGGTAGTCCCTTTAAAAATCTACTTCCACCAGGCTCACAAGCAGTAAGTTTATAATTTAAAAAACCCACAAAAATTGTGATTCCCCCATCTCTAGATATCCCAGTCCATCACATCCTTTTTCTGGTCTGCCTTTTAGATTGTAAATTATATGGGACAGGGACTGTTTTTATTTTTGTATAGTGTACAGCACCAAGTCAGGTGTTGGTGGTAAATAATAATATACTCCATTCCTCACCAAAGTAGTTTTGTATCAAAATCTCAGAGAAAATCTTTCAGATTCCTAGGACCACTCTCTAATTCCCAATGCTTCTTAGTGTTAAAAGTATTCTATATTCTGGGAAGCCTGCTTGACCAATCATTGTCTTTGCTGGCAAGCAGTCATGTTTGCCTTGGTATAGCAGGGTAGGCAAATGTGCTGTTACACAAATTTTATTACTCTCTGCAAGTGTAAAATTTGTATTCAGCTTAGAAAAAGGCAGAACATTCCCTGTCCTGATGATGGGCCTGATCCAAAGCCCATCAAAATCAATGGGAATCTTTCCATTAATTTCAATGGGCTTTGAACCAGGCCTAATAAGAGCTTATGGATGTTAGGCACCAGCTTTTAAATTCTCTAGCTAGGGCAAGTCCATCACCTCCCTCTCATCTGCAATAACCCTCCACTCCTTAGGACTAAGTGTTCTAGTATATGTCAACTAGGTACAGGGGTTGAAAAATCCATGTGTCTCACCAGTGGCAATTTTTTCTAGTGACTTCAAAAAATGTGAGTGCTTGTTTGTTTGTTTCAATTAAGTTTCTAGTCCTTCTGGTTGTGAAGAAAACGGTGTAAATGTAATGAAACCATTCCAGTGCAATAGTGTTTTCTTGAGTCTGCAGACAGGCACCACCAGTGCCTCTATTGCTACTCAAAGTTTTGCCATGTTGTAGCACTGTGAAATTAGCAAGATTCTGATCATTTTCATGATTGCTAATTCAGCACTCTTTGAAATTTCCACTTTCATGGTACTGCTTGGGAAAACTAAATGTAGAGGCAGGCTCTGGAATTATTAGTGGGGAAAGAGAATACAAAACATGGAAGGAAGGTGAGGGCATTGGAAACCTCCATCCCCATTGCAGAAGCCAGGTAGCTCTCACAGATGGGCTCTGGAAGGATTGGAAGCATAGCTGGGGAAGAAAAGACAGAAAACTTCTTTCTCCTTCCAGCTGCAAGAGTAGGCTGGGCAGCTTCCAATTTATCAGACCCTTACTAGCCAGAGGCTGATAGAAAAGGTGGAGCCCTGAGCAGGATCCTAAGACTACGCCCTAGTAAGAATCCCAGTGTTTTCCCCCTTTCTAGCATCTGAGGGTTGCAAAGAAGATGGAAACTAGCTCATTAGCCAACCCTCACTAGTTATTATCCCATCAATACACTTGTCTTCTATAGCTACTTCTGGCTACTAGATTTAATCCTTTGACTAGAGGGTGTCTGATAAGTTTTTCCAGCCCTGCGTGCATATATTTCTAAATATAATTAGCTCTCCTGATAAACTGCACATACTTGCAAATTGCTGGGGAGAGGTAGACAGCAGGCTTGCCGTGTGGAAAGAATCCAGGAGCATGTGGCAGCTGGTGACATGATATTGCAAGATGGGAAATCCAGGTGGTTTGGCAGCTGGGTCTAGAGGGTGGTTTTTGCTGTCTTGTCACAGGAAAAATGGGGAGAAAGGAAAGTTGGGAAACCTGGGGGGTGGAATCGGGCACTCGGATGTGGGGGGTTATTTGAAGATGCTATCATTAGAGTAGAGCTACCATACAGAGCACAACTCAGTGATGATTAAACTGTTTTGCAGATCTGGGACTATCTCCCCATCTTACAGCTCTCATGGCAGGTGGGCGACCTTTAGGACACAGCAGCAGCACAGGGGACACTGGTTTCAGCTGCTCTCAGGATTCAGGTAACTCTGTTGTTTTCCTTTCTCAGACAGAAAGATTTTACTTGCGGCTTACTTGCAGAATTCTGCAAACAGTCTGTATTTATGTACAGATATCTTTTGGTAGGTGAACAATAACATTAAGCATCTCCTATGGCAGTGGTTTTCAATCTGTGGTCCGCAGACCCCTGGGGGTCCACAGACGATGTCAAAGATTTCCAAAGGCGTCCGCTATGCCATTTGACATTTTTTAGGGGTTTGCAAATGAGAAAAGGTTGAAAACAATTGTCCTATGGTACCCTGAGCAGAACTGCCTTAGCTTCTCCTCTGTATTTTTGATCTTGCAGTGTCTACTATGAAAATACTGTTCAGCCTAGGAGAATAATTTCTTTCCCTAGTGCATATTTCCTAGGAGCATGATAATCTGTTTGTCCCGTTCCTTTATTCTTCTTCCCTCTTCAGTGATCTTCCTGACCCCCCAAGAAGCTAAGAAGCAAACTGCTCGGGAAATAGGTCTCTTCACTTCCTGCTTATAGGAGATTTCATTTGGTCACTCTATGCTAGAGCCTCTCCTATAGAATGGAGGCTTCTCATCTTTGTCATGGATCTCTCGAGCAGTAGCCTAGAAAAGGGCATGGTGATCTGCCAGTAATTTTCCAGCACTGGTAATAGGGGGGCTGTGGTTTTAACTGCCAACAGAGGGAAGTTTTCCAAAACCTCCACCTGCAATCTATTTTAAAGAGCATTTCTGCTCTACAGACACCAGAGAGGACTCTTCTGACAGCTGCATCTCTGCATTGCTCTCTGACTGGGAGAATGGGAGAAGGAGGCTGGCAAGGTGGGATTTTTCATGAAGGCAACACTACTCCACTAATTCTGTAGGTGAATTGCTGGCTTAAGTGCAGCTATAGGTGATAACGGGTAATGGAAAACTCTTCTCTTTATAGCATCCTGTGTTATCATCCTTGAAGAAAGGCACTAAGAGGCCTCCACAGCTGACCAAATCAAAAATATAAGTTGTTAGGAGCCCCAATGTTTAGGGAATTTGAACTGGGAAATATCCCACTTCACTGAACATCCTGAATGACAGAAGACAGGCTTTTCAGATAGTACAAGCCAAAGGAACTGTATACAGAGAAAAGATCAAGGGATGCCCATTACAGATCAAGTATTTAATGAGGCAGATAATATAGGATCACCCGTATCCAGTCAAAACACTATCTTAGCATCACTTATAGACAGGGATCCACTTCTGGGCAAGAATTACAGGCCAATTTCCTTACTCAATGTAGTTTTTAAAATATATGCTAAAATATAGTCTCAAGGACTAGAGTGTCATCTTCCTAATTCTACCCATCCATTGCAGGCTGGCTGGGTTTCCACGGAGTAGGGCTTTGATCTTGTACCATTGACGTCAATAACCCAGATGATCCACAGAACATTAAAAGTATCCCACTTATTTAATATGGTCTATGAGGAAGGTAGATCACTCGCTCATTACTAAGTATTTGGAGAAGGCATTTGACAGTATGGAATGGAAATATTTATATATCACAGTTCAATTCTGGACTATCCTTTGTTTAAAAAAAATAGGTTTGCTAAATAAATCATTGGTAAAGGTCAGGTATATGCAACAGTGTCTTGTCTCATGGAACTCATCATGGATGTGTGTTGTCACCTTTGCTATAAATTGGTCCTGGACCCTCTGGCTATTGCTATAAGAATAAATCCAGGAATCAAATGAACTCATGTGGGTGGAGAGGGCACAAAGCCACGGTCTGCAGAGGGTGTAATCTGACCAATGAATGATTTGGAACAAGCTACAAAGCATCGAATGGCTGTTGTAGGAAGCTTTCGATCCATCGTCAGAGTACAAAAGTATTTGGGCAAAAGTAAAGTGTCACAAGCATTCAGGGGATCACAGGCTGTGCCTTTCAGCAGCAGGTGTAAGAAGCACTGACACAGCACGCTCCCCTAGTGCTCCCTGAGGCGGCCTGTCTGCTTCTATGCTAGGGAGGCAGAATGCCTCTTTGACTGTCATAGGGTATGTCTACACTGCAATTAAAAATCCGTGGCTGGCCCATTCCAGCTGACTGTGGCTCGTGGGGCTTGGGCTAAGGGGCTCTTTAATGCAGGGTGGACATTCGGGGCTCTAGAACCCTGTAAGGTGGGAGAGTCCCAGAGCTCAGGCTACAGCCCAAGCCCAAATGTCTACACCACAGTTAAACAGCCCTTCAGACCGAGCCCCATGATCCTGAATCAGCTGGCACAGGTCAGCCATGGGTGTCTAATTGCAGTGTAGACATACTCTTAGTGTCTGTACTCAGCCACAACGGCACTGGAGTGAGGAGCCAGGCCACAATTTGGCCCTTCATGTGACATGCCAGACGTTGAGTTTAGTATTCCCCACACAGTGACAGGTAAACTTTATTTTATACCTAAGTAATACGGAGGAAACGCAGGTAGATGAAATAGTGTTCATGAGATCAATACCCATAAAGTGGTAGAATGACTCAGCAGAAAAAAATACAGGCTCAGTCAGGCAGATGTTCTCCTTAAGGAATAATGTTTGTGACAAGAAAGCAAAATTAGTTAACAAAGGCAAAATAGAGTGATCAGAACATTCCCCAGCTTGGCTTGCCATCCATTCTGAGTATGGAATCTGATCTTCCTATCGGCATTCCCTACTGTCTGTTTCCCAAGCAGCCAGTTTGTAAGGGCTTGTCCACACTTGAACATTAATTCAGGTAACGTATGAATGTAAAAGGCAATAGCTATTCCAGAAGAACACCATGTGTGGACAGGTGCCTATTTAGTGTGATCCACTTTCGAAGAATAAGGCTACGTCTTCACTACATGGGGGGGGTCGATTTAAGATACGCAAATTCAGCTACGCGAATAGCGTAGCTGAATTCGACGTATCGCAGCCGACTTACCCCGCTGTAGGGACGGCGGCAAAATCGATCTCTGCGGCTTCCCGTCGACGGCGCTTACTCCCACCTTCGCTGGTGGAGTAAGAGTGTCGATTCGGGGATCGATTGTCGCGTCCCGATGGGACGCAATAAATCGATCCCCGAGAGGTCGATTTCTACCCGCTGATTCAGGCGGGTAGTGTAGACCTAGCCTGAGTGTGCCTACCTGTGGCGTTATTCAGGAATAGTTATTGTGGAGTAGCTGTTGTTGAATAATGCCATCTGTAGACAATCCTTCTTTCGCTCAGGAGAAGCAGGGAATTGTCCTCAGATTAACCTCTGGTTAGCTGAAGACCAGGTAATAACTTGACCCTGGCCCTGTCTGAAATCCCATCACAGTTGAATGCAGAGTGATAATACATCAGCACATTTTAGGCAATTTTTGAGGAGAGGCGCTCAAGTCTATGAACTCAAAAGTTCATTTCCCCTGATAATTTTAGGTTTGTCTTCTCAGGGCTCGTTATTATTTCCAAACATTTTCTGCATTTCAGGGACAGATGTGATGCTGCTTGAGGATTATAGTTCGGATGGAGCTCATCACCCACATTGCGTTTATCCCTATCGACGGAGGAGTTCGGTGACATTCGAAGACGAAGTGGAGCAAATCAAAGGTGTGTTTAGGGTGGATACTGTAATGCTGCTCACCTGGGATGACCGCCCCCTGCACCTTCATGATGGCTGCCGAGCATAGCTGTCCCCTTCTTTAACCTTAGAACACAGAGGACAAGTATCACTCCTGGGCTCTTCATCCTTCCCCTTCTGATAGGTGCTCTGACTTTTCCCTTCTGCTGATTCCTCCACAACCTTCTTGAGACGCCCCAACTTCTGCTCACCCCATCCTTTACTGCTGGGTCACTCATTTTCACCACTGCTGCCTGCTCTGACTTCCCACTAGTTACCTCATCGACCCCTGTGGACACGCGCTCCCATGCCATCTGAGCTGCTTCTCCCTACTGTTTTCCATCCTGACACTGCTGGTTGGTAGGTGGGTGGAAGGGAGGGAAATGCACATTTTCTGGAACTAGGGAGGTGAGGCTGGACAGGACTCACTTGCAGGGTATATTTTACAACTGTCTTTCTGCCATCTATCCACTTCCTTTTAAGATCTGCTCTTTCTTTTCTCCTTATTCGGGTAGGCATGACATGATATCCCTGACAGATGTGTGGTCTGATTTAACGGTATCTGCTCTTGCACCACACTATAGCAAACCAATGTAGGGGACAATAGAGAGCTCTTCAGAACTGTATGAAGTTCTTATGGGAATACTAGGAAGCTTGGGGTGTGCCAGTACGCCAAAGTGGTGCATAACAAATTTCTGCTAGAGCCCGCGTTATCTTTGTTAATTAAAACCAAAGGCCTACACGAGAAGTACAGCATTTCAAACATGGGCCTGGATTCTCTGCACAGCTAAGGCCACTTTGCGCTGCATAAGCCTTCAACTGCCTGGAGATAGTCTGTGGAGAATTTCCCCTGTGCTGGAGAACTCATGGTTTGCAGAAATCTGGCAAAGCCAGCCAGCTCTGCCACCCCTTGTGCTCTCAGCATAAAGGGATGGAGAGGGTGTCAGGGGTGGAATAGAGATGGGGAGGAGGCGTGGCGGAATGGAGCAGAGGTACAACCCATCCTCCATTGGTGTAAGGTCCTTGGATGACCTTACCCCAGTGATGACCTTACCACAGGCTTCCCCTGTGTAGCACTAGCATGCTCTGGGGCCAGGCGTGTGGGCACACACACACACCCCTGCAGCGCTATGACAAAACCATTGGCGATAATAGATAATAGCAGTTTCCAGTTCAAAATATGAGTATCCCTTGAACTGGGGATACACTATTTTTTATTCAGGGATAGCCAGCGCCCTGGATAGAAGACCTTAATAACAGGCCTTCCTTCTGATAGGTAGTTCCAGTCTAGATCAAGGATCAGAAACTGGGCTTCCCTGCATGGACCTCATTCATGCAGGAACAACAGCCTTATGCGACCCTGCCTTTCCTTGGGTTTCATCCATTTACGTTGTCTACTCCCCACTGTATTTTTTTTTCCCCTCTCTTCCCCGCAATGACTCCACCACTTTGATGTTTTTCTGCCCTCCCAGGCTTTTATTTTCTCCATATACTGCCCGCCTCTTGTCTCTCCTGTCCATTACCAGGCTGTGTTACTTTAAATTCTTTAAACTGAAAGAATGTATTTCTTTCCATTTATGCTGTTTGTTTGCTCCTTGCATTTGTCTCAGCTGGGACAGGGAAACTAGACAAATCAGTTTCACTTTGTTTTCTAGTTAGGCTCACATGTTGGTTCTCAATACTAGCAACATGTTGCTGGGACTGGCTTTAGAACACTGCAGGGTTGATTTAATTTGAGCAGATCCTCTTTAATTTGGGCTAATAACTAGGAGGCCAATTGCAAGTGATAGAATTTACTAAATCATAAGTCAATGAGGACAATATAAAAACAGCCACAATGCATCACACAGTGTACTTGTTATTACCTTTGATTTTATTATTAGCATTAATACTTGAGACTCTACAGTACACATATACTGTAGTATATTTATCCAAAAATAATGCAGTCTTATTAATATGAGGGCTTTTCTGAAGTATCTTCTGCAAATTATCTTAGCAAAATTCTACTCCCACACTCACCCCAGGGTGAATTGGTTTGGGGTTTTGTTTGACAATTATCATTACTTTTCCATTATCCGCCCCATAATGATAAAAAGTAGCCAAGTAGCTTTTGTGTGTTGCCTCACAGACATTTATAGCAATTCTGCAAGGCTGTTTAAATGGATTCCTGAGGAGTAGGGGTAGGCTACCAGTTTTTTGTGCAGTTCAGTGACGTGTAGAACAGGGAGGTTCTGCTGTATATAAAAAGTTTGGTCTTCACCAAGTTTAAAACATACCATGAGCTATGTGACTTCTTGTGTTGTCCCCCTTTTTATGTAAACAAAATGTAAAATTTTGGCCTAAACTAAATTGAGAATCCCCTTGTGTACAAAACTAATGGTCAGAGTAGAAGGGGCTGGGAATTGGGACTCAAGAGTTTTATTCCTGGCTTTGTCACTTATTTCTTTCCCACAGTCATGTAATTCCCATAGGGCCTAATTCTGTGCCAGATGGAATAAGTGGAAGTTCTGCGCTTTGGCAGGATCAGGCCAATAACCTTTTCTGTGCCTAAGTCCCAATCCAGGAAAGTATTTAGCATGTAGTCCCATGTAAGCACATGGGCAATCCATTTGACATCAGGTTAAGCATGTGCTTAAATGCTTTGCTTCATCAGTCCTTAGTTTTCCCATCTGTAATTTGGGGATAATTTCTCTACTTGACATGATGATATTGTGAAGATTAGTGTTCATGGTGTGCTTTGAGATCCTTAGACAAAAGATGTTGTGGAAGCATAAAGTACTATTAATAGCAATATTTATCATTTGTAGAAGACATGATCACACATTTGCAGTCCTGAAGACAAATATTTGCCCTCAGATGTTTGCATAGCCATGGTATGTTATTGTTAATTGTTCTGTCTTAATTTTTTTTTCTTTAGAAGCTGCAAAGAATTCTGTTCTTCATGTAAAAGCTGAAGTCCATAAATCTCTGGACAGTTATGCATCCAGTTTAGCCAAAGCTATTGAAGCTGATGTGAAAATTAGCTTGTTTGGAGAAGATGCTTTACCAGGATCTTTGTTTCCTTCGCGGACTATACCAGGCGGCAATGTGGGTGCACGGCGTGGTGGCAGAGCCCAGGCTGGCCAAAGACTTCAGCTTCAAAGCATCGATGAAGGGAATATTTGACAAGAGCACTGAACTAGAAGAAACCACTAAGTAGGACCCAGTATAGTAGTAATTATTGTAAAAGAAGCAGAGTATTCAGAATGGCTTAACTTCAGTGTTTTAGTCAAGAACACTTGAAACTACCTGAATACTTGTCTTTAAATACATACAGCTACATTTTAGAACAGTATTTACTTACTGTTCAGGATACTGTAGATGTGTTTGTGTAATGTTTTTATCCATTATACAGCACATAAAAACATAGGATTTGCCTTACTGGACCAAACCACTGGTCCATCAGATCAAGTATCCTTCAGTGGCCAATTCCTGATATTTCATAGGAAAGCAAAACAAACAAAAAAACCCCATGCAGCATTATACATAGTGTTGTAGAGATTTTTTCCTGACCCATGGGGCTATCAATGTAATCCCTAAAAGAGGAGATTCGATGGCTCTACTTACTGGAAACTTTATACACAGTGTTATTTTGGAGAACTGTAAAAAAATGACAGGAGCATGGATTTAACTAAAGCACAAAATCTGAGCCTAGTTTTCAGATTTCCAGGATCCCTTTCATCCAAATTACTGTCCTGCTCACCTTTGGTGGTGGATTATATTTTTGACTGTTCAATCGTGGGAATGCTAAATATGAGGCCATATTTATTGCTTTTGTTCCACTGGACAAATGTTTTACTACAGAGAGCAGATACATCATTCTCACATGTATAATGGGTAGAGGCAGACAAGCACTGGAAAGATGGCAGAAATGGTTTTAGAAGATGGACATGCAGATTTTGTTTGGGGTTTTTAGTTCTCAATGAGAATTACGATTTGCTTTCCTTGTTTTGTTTTTACTTAGAGGCATTGTACAGCCACTGAGATTAAACAAGGATGAGATAGAACATAAATACTGTATTGCCACTTAATATTGACGTTATACAGGTTTCATCCTTTATACACAGAAAAGCTTGGTGAGTTGGATTTTTACAAGGGAGTACGTCTTTTTGTGTTGTTAAAGCAATAACTACCTCAGTGCAAGTATTTCTTGGAGTTTAACTCATTAAATCTTAAAATAACAATATTTAGCACTTATATAGCACTTTTCATGTTCCAAGTGCTGTACAAACATGAATTAATCTTTACAGTCCCCTAGCCCCAAGTGGCAGGTAGGTGGGTAAGCAGTATCATTCCCATTTTTGCTGAAGCATTATTAAAGTGAAGGGCCAAGTTTGTCCAGAAGTGCTCACTCGTTTTGTGTGACTCAGTTTTTGAGTGCCCACGTGGTAGCTGCAGGTGCTCAAAACCTCTGAAAATCAGGGACAAGGCATCTCAGTTTGGGCACTTAAAACCTGAGAATTACAGCGCTCTTGTGACAATTTGGCTGTGTGTGACTTACCCAAGGCCATAGACAGAATATCAGAGGGTAAAATCTCTGGATTTCATGAAACTCAATCCCATTCTTAAACCACTAGATCACCCCTTTCTCAGGCCCCCCAGTTCAACAAAGCATTCAAGCACATGCGTAAATCCATCCCTATTCAGCAATGCACTTAACTCATGGCTAACTTAAGTACTTGCTTATGTCCCATTGAAGTCAATGGGATTTAAGTGTATGCTTGAAATTAAACGTGATTTGCTGAATAAAGATGGACTGTTGAATTGAGACTTCTACAATCCACGAAATGGGGTGTTTTGCATAGTTACAAAATATTCAGGAATGAAATAGTTAATAACAATGGATTGTGAGGAGCTGATGGCCTGAAAAGTAGCCTAGTGACCCTAGTCACTCATTCATTTTACTTTATTTAATTTTTCAGTGTATAAAATGTATCTTTTGACAGCTCTTGGCACATGTCCAAGAATCTACAATCCCATCAATTGCCAGGAAATGCCCTGCACCGAGGTCATTATTGCCATTGTAAAATGAATATGCAGGGAGAAAGCTAGGCCACTGGATTTCTTTTCACAGGTGATGCTGTTTTAATTGATGTCTATATGAACACACACACGGTATAATAGCTCATCAGATTGTTAGAAATAATTTCTTAATGTTCCACTTATTTTGTAACCCTTTCAAAACAAATTGACCAAATATGCCATTGAAGGAAAAGGGAACAAGGAGCCTGAATTAAAGGGGCAACCATAGGATAGTTTGGATGGATTGGGTTCACTCTTATTCACCATTAGGTTGCATTGAAGTAATTGTCAAGATTTTGTCTCAAAGGCATAGGGGGGAAAACCCCCAAGCACATATGAAAGCACAAAATAGTTAGCATTACATAAAGAGCACCTTACCCACCAAGGCACTGATTGAAATTCAGCCCCCCGTGAAGGTCTGAGGAGTTGCACCTGCTTACACCAGGGTTGAATTTGGCTCACTGTGTTAATTTCACTAACATATTATTAGTAATATATTTACTAAATAATTTATTTACTAAATGAAACACATCTTACACCCTCCCCATAATGCTGTTGTTGTTATCAGTGTTTTCTAGTTTGAGGTGTTGTTAGAGAAATAACTAATTAAGAAACACACACATTTTACAAAGTTGTATACAAAGCACAAGGAAATGCATTGTTTCTAGATAGTGAAGGTGAGCGGTTTAGTTTCATTCTTCAACCTGAGTGAAGTGCCCCTTCTTTAATTCTTTAATTTTTGATAATCAAAGGTGTTACTAATTACATAAAAAGATCAGGAGTACTTGTGGCACCTTAGAGACTAACAAATTTATTTGAGCATAAGCTTTCGTGGGGCTGTAGCCACAAGTACTCCTGTTCTTTTTGCAGATACAGACTAACACGGCTGCTACTCTGAAACTAATTACATAGCAGAGGAATTTTTTTAAAATCTCAACAATGTGCCATTAAGAAAGTCATAGTTCAAGACTAAAACAAAAGCATGGAACATATTGCATAAGGCTGCAACCATGTCCTTAGTCCTCCAGTATTAGTTAAAAGTAAAAAGAGATATTGGACTTGGAAAAGGTTCAGAAAAGGGCAACAAAAATGATTAGGGGTATGGAATGGCTGCCGTATGAGGAGAGATTAATAAAACTGGGACTTTTCAGCTTGGAAAAGAGACGATTAAGGGGGGATATGATAGAGGTCTATAAAATCATGACTGTTGTGGAGAAAGTAAATAAGGAAGTGTTATTTACTCCTTCTCATAACACAAGAACTAGGGGCCACCAAATGAAATTAACAGGCAGCAGGTTTAAAACAAACAAAAGGAAGTATTTTTTCACACAGTGCACAGTCAGCCTGTGGAACTCCTTGCCAGAGGATGTTGTGAAGGCCAAGACTATAACAGGGTTCAAAAAAGAAGTAGATAAGTTCATGGAGGATAGGTCCATCAATGGCTATTAACCAGCTGAGGATAGGCAGCAATTATGGTCAGCTTTGTTCCATGAGGAGGGTGCGTTTTTACCCACCCCCCCAGAACAGGCTTTTCTAACTTTAAAAAAAAAAAGACCCATTGGTACAGATTCTACTTTTAGTTAATTCCCTGTCAAGAAACTTGTTTGGTTTCAATGGAGTTAATGCAGATTTACACCAGTGTTAGTGGGATCAGAATCTCACCCAATAACTTTAAAGTTTGAGTCATCGTTTCCATAAGAATATGACATCTTTTCCTCCTCCTCTCATTCCTCAAATAATACAAATCAGCAAGTAACAAATTAGGTGTGTCATGCTAGGCATGTGTTTTCATCCATTATTATAGACCAGGGGTAGGCAAACTTTTTGGCCCGAGAGCCACATCTGGGAATAGAAATTGTATGGCGAGCCATGAATGCTCACAAAATTGGGGTTGGGGTGCGGTAGGGGCTGCAGGCTCTGGTTGGGGGTGCGGGCTCCAGGGTGGGACCAGAAATGAGGCATTCAGGGTGTTGGAGGGGGCTCTTGGCTTGGGTGGGGGAGTTGGGTGCGGGGCAGGTGTGCGGGCTCTGGGGTGGAATCGAGGAGTTCAGAGGGCAGGAGGGGAATCAGGGCTGGGGCATGGTTTTGGGGTATGGGAAGGGGTGCAGGCTCTGGCTGGGGGTGCGGGCTCTGGAGTGGGGCTGGGGATGAGGGTTTTGGGGTGCAGGAAGGTGCTCCAGGCTGGGATCGAGGGGTTCGGGGGGCGGGAGGGAGATCAGGGCTGGGGCAGGGGGTTAGGGCGCGGGAAGAGGCTCATGGGTGCAGGTTCTGGGTGGTGCTTATCTCAACCAGCTCCCGGAAGCAGCGGCCATGTCCCCGCTCCGGCTCCTATGCGGAGCCGTGGCCAGGCAGCTCTGCGTGCTGCCCCATCCGCAGGCACTGCCCCTGCAGCTCCCATTGGCTGCAGTTCCCGGCCAATGGGAGCTGCGGGGGCGGCGCTTGGGGCAGGGGCAGCGCGCAGAGTGGAGCCCCCTGGCTGCCCCTACACATAGGAGCCAGAGCGGGGTCATGCTGCTGCTTACTGGAGCCATGTGGAGCAGCCCCCGACCCTGATCCCCAGCTGGAGTGCCGGAGCGGGGCAAGCCCCAGACCCCGCTCCCCAGTGGGAGCTCGAGGGCCGGATTAAAACAGCTGGTGTGCCGAATCTGGCCCGCAGGCCGTAGTTTGCCCACCCCTGTTATAGACAAAGGGGAAAATTCTGTCCTTAGTTACACTGTTGTAAATCTGTGGAAGTCAGTGGGGCTATATCAGCGTATAACTGAGAGCAGAATTTAGCACAAAGCATGCATATGTTCATATCCCTTCTCCATCTGGCCCCTTCCCCAATTAATACTGAAAAATTTATGAATATGTTGATCACAAATTTTAATTGTTTTGTTCTATTATATATTTAATTTCAGTTTACTATGAGAGTAGTCCTTTAGTGTGGAACAGTACTTTATATTTGTGATAAATGTGTTAAAAAAAAAAACCATACGCCCCCTGTTTGAAACCTTTCTGCAGAGAAAAGCAGATATTCTTAGCATTTACTTCTATCCCACTGGAATAAATCAGAGGTAA